TTTACCAATGCTTCGATTTTGGAACAGTCCATTCTGCGTTCAAGGGATTTCATTATCAAAATACCAGGATTAATTATTATTAAACTCAAACAAGAGGGCCATGATGGCCCTGAGGTCGCTCACCTGTATATAGGCCCCCCAACCCCCACCCCAACGTTGCAGGGCCAATTTAACCCAGGGGCTTTTATTGCACAAACTTGGTAGACACCCATAAGAAAATGTTTCATGCTAAACATCTCAGCTCTACCTCATTGGGCTTTTTAAAAGAAGATTTTTTTTAAAGTTTTTACTATACACATATAGTTAAAAACAATGACACCCCTGGGGCGGGGCCAGTTTTGACCCAAGGGCTTTTATTTGAACACACTTTGTAGACACTTACTAGAAGATGTTTCATGCTTAATATTTAAACTCTAGCTATTTGGGTTTTTTCAAAGAAGATTTTAAGTTTTTGCTATACACATATAAAGAAAATCAATGACCCCCGGGGCAGGGCCAATATAGACCCCAGGTCTTTTATTTGAACAAACTTTGTAGACACTTTCTAAAAGATGTTTCATGCTGAATATCTTAACTCTAGCTATTTGGGTTTTTTCAAAGAAGATTTTTTAAGTTTTTGCTATACACATATAAGGAAAATCAATGACCCCCGGGGCAGGGCCAATTTTGACCCCAGGGCTTTTATTTGAACAAACTTGGTAGACACCCATTAGAACATGTTTCATGCTAAATATCTTAGCTCTAGCTCTTTGGGTTCTTTAAAAGAAATTTTTTTAAGTTTTTACTATATGCATATAGGGAAAATCAATGACCCCCCGGGGCGGAGCCAATTTTGACCCCAGGGCTTTTATTTGAACAAACTTGGTAGACACTTACTAGAAGATGTTTCATGCCAAATATCTAAGCTCTAGCTCTTATGGTTTTTTAAAAGAAGATATTTAAAGTTTTTTCTTTCGGTTGCCATGGCAACCAGAGTTCTGCATGGAATTAAATTCTTTGAACAATTTTTAAAGGTGACCACCAAAGGAACATTCCTGTGAAGTTTGGATGAAATTGGCTCAGTGGTATATGAGGAGATGTCATTTAAAGTAAAAGTTTACGGACGGACGCCGGACGAAAAGCGATCACAAAAGCTCACCCTGTCACTTTGTGACAGGTGAGCTAAAAACACACATCAATGTGCAGCAACAAAACAACTAAACCATGGAACTTGACATGTACAATACAAATTATGCAAAAAACTTCAGTTTAAGTTTATTTATAAACATCGTAAACATTGCTAAATGGTCAATTAGGATAGTGATTTTACCTTCTTATTTTCTTCTTTTGCCATTTCTTCTTTTTCAGTAGCACTATAGTTTGAAAAGGTAATGTTTGCATCTGGAGGTTTAGTATTAAGAGTGATTGAAACAGATTGCAAGTCATTCAAAATTTCTGTAAAAGTAAACAGAATATATGTAAATATATACTATGTGCATGTTTGAGTAAAATATTTTTATTGAAGAAATGAAATTTATTGAAATCTATAATATTCTTACTGAATATGTCTTATTTAAATAAAAGAAAGTACAAACTATGTATGGGAATATGCATTCCTTATTACGGGTCAAGTGCCTTTCTTAAAAAAACTGCCAGTTTATTTAAATGACACTATTATTAATGGTGTATCAACTTATATTTTTATAGTTACCTCAAGTATTGTTTTATTTGCCATTTTTTTAACTAGGAAGTAAAAAAAATGTGCATTATCTCCAGACTGTCATCTACCCATTTTTCAAGTTTCTTAAAAATATTTTCAGTACTTTTTGCGTTATCAGGGGATCCAGGTTTGTGGACTGACAGACAGACAATTCTGAAGAGGCACTATACTGTTGGTTAACTTAAAATTTTCAAAATTTATTTAATATCCCCCTTAATGATGAAGAATTGTGCCAAAAATAACACATTTTACCAAATAACACACAATTACAATCAAGAAAATGGCTTTTTTACTAGGCACTAAAGAATAAGTAATTTTATGCATAAAAATAAAATTTAACCATTCATTTCGATAAAAGAAATTTGTGTCTATAAAAAAGAAAATCATGAAGAAATTTTCACTTCTTATATAATATTACTTTAAATTCAAGGTTACCGATAACTTCTTCTTCAGTAGCACTTTCTGTTAGGTTGCCACTTAAATCATCTACTGTATTTCCAAGCTCTTCATTTGTAACAGGGGTTGGTTCCACCTTGTGTTTAAAAAGAAATGCTTATGTAAGACAAAGAAAATGTCAAATGTTATGGTTGAGTTTTACTTCACAACAACACAATAGAGGTTGTATGGCAACTTTCCAGCTTAGTGGTGGAGGAAGGCCTAAGGTGCCCTTCTGTGCATAATAATTCAGGCAAGAACAAGCATCTGAGTAGAACGAGTAGTAGCGGTGGTTGAACTGTGCTCTGGTGAATTCAATGTGGCTTACTGTCGTGACCCGGAGTGAAAACTACCAACACCACCACTGAGTAGAACCACAAACATACTATAAGTTTGCTTGGATAGCGTCCTCACATAAAAGAAACTAAAATCCAACAGCAATGTGGGTCAAGTGGTTCGAAGTCTGCAACCATAACCACTTGGTCGTGAATGCTCAGCCCATTAATATTTCGTGATTTAAAATTTGATAACTATAAATTACCTTTCTATTGATTGAACTCATTCATCAAGGTTCTTTTATGTCATACAACTTCCGTTATCAAATGAGATGCGCACTAACCATTATCGTGACAATCAGTGCGCTTCTGATATTCAAGCTAGTCCGATGTGTATTCGACAGCTTGTAAACTTTACAGTTTACTATATACATGTCCGTGCATTTATTGTTTTACAATTGCGTACTGTACTATAAATAAAGCGACGCCGTATTATTATTATCAATAAGACATATTATTTCTATTATTTATTGTATCAAAATATTTCTTTGACGTGGTCAAGGTGTTTATTATTTTTCGTTCAGAAAAATATTTCGTTCAAAATAAATTTTGAATCGATAAATTGTAAACACATGTAGGAGTGTTTCCGGTTTTAATTTCATCATGGCTGACTCTATGATATGCAGAATTCTTCTTTAATTTTGTTTCTAAAGGCAGTGGAAAGATAGAAACGACACATGACAAGGAGAACAATCGTAAGAATTCATCCGGCACGGCCGGAACGAAGAGTAAATCTACAATCCTGTTCAAAAGCCCAGTGGTAGTTCCTCGTCCTCCGTGCAAAACCAAAATATAAACAAGGAGGTTATATAAGTTATGAAAGAACTAAATTACAATATTAACACCCAGAATAAACGCATTGAACAGCAGGATGAAAGAATTGAACAGTTAGCACAGAAGTTTGAGTGGTATTTTCTTGATGCGGGTCAAAATGACTATGATAATTCTTGTAATTATGATGACCCAGATGAAGTGTCAGATTTAATTAATCCTGCATTTGATAACGATTCGTCGTCTGAACCTCCCCAGAAAAGACAAAAAACTGGTGAACAATCAGTGATTTTTCTCACTTAATTGGAAAGAGGCATTTATATTAATAGCCTCTTCATTTTGGGAAAAATATCCCTAAAATTGCTGATTTGGGAAGTAAAAAAGCTGGTTTAAGTTCAGATTTTTGGGAAAACTGCATGATTTTAAAGAACATTTCAATATGGAATTTTTTCGGAGTTTATAAGTAGAAAATTCACTGACAATCTATATTTAAGACTTTGGGTGAAAAATTCCTTCAATCTGAGTCTGTTGACAGTGAAGTGAATGATGATTTAGCTACTTTTGTTAATAGTGCATTTAGGTCAGGTATATCCGAAGAAAAACAGAGTGAATTAGTAAAAGAGATACACCGCTCCAATAATTGTGAAGCTCTGGTGAAGACTAGGGTAAATCAAGGTATATGGCGTCTGCTCAAACCATATAAACAGACTCAGATGACTCTAAATAACAATGTTTCCAGAATTTTATTGTTAAGGCAGCAACAAACATAACAAAACTCTTAGATAAACACAGTGGAGTGTTTGATTCAGAAGATTTAGATTGGGGTTCAAACACTCTGGCTTTATTAGGTCAAGCTAATAAATTGCTTAGCAACAGGCATAAGAAAATGCACAAGGCGGATTTAGATCCAAAGTATCATTATTTAGCATCATCCAGTCTACCCTTCACTGATCTGTTATATGGGGAGGATTGTGATGTGAACAAAAATGTCCGTGAGATAAATGATATGAACAGAATTGGCCGCTGTGTAGGTAGAGGATATACAAACAGAGGCTCAACAATGTTTAGAGGTCTCCATCCTTTCCGAAGAGGAGGAAGAGGGCGTGGTAGATGGCCAAGGTTTGAAAGTCAGACTGTGCCAAAAAACCTGAAAATGGTGCCAAGAAGCATTAAACGTAAGTGAATTTCAAGCTGGTAGATTAAAAAGTTATGTTGAAAATTGGAGAAATATTACTTTTGATAGAAATATACTTGATATTGTACAGCATTGTCATATTGAATTTATGCAAGGTGTAAATCCTGTTAAATCTGATTGTAATAGTTTGGTTTTCTGCCAAAGAAGAAGAAATTATAGATAAAGAAATTGAACTAAAACAGTATCCAAAGGACACGGATGCCCCCACTGTGCAGATGTGCTCGTAAACAAGAGCATGCATATCTGTATAGAAGTTTAAGCAAAATCTGCCATCCGATTTAAGAGGAGTTGCGTTCACAAAATTTCTATGTGGTATATAGTGAAAAAATCAACAAAGGGCCATAATTCTGTTAAATTTGGTCGCATCACAATTCCTTCCTTTACTTCCATCTACACATTAAGGTTGTTCATCCCTGGAAGTTTAAGCAAAATTAAGAGGAGTTGCGTTCACAAATTTTCTATATGGTATATAGTGAAAAAATCAACAAAGGGCCATAATTCTGTAAAATTTGGTCGCAGCAAAAATTCCTTCCTTTACTATCATCTACACATTAAGGTTGTTCATCCCTGGAAGTTTAAGCAAAATCTGCTATCCGGTTTAAGAGGAGTTGCATTCACAAAATTTCTACATAGTATATAGTGAAAAAATCAACAAAGGGCCATAATTCTGTTAAATTTGGTTGCAGCAAAAATTCCTTCCTTTACTACCATCTACACATTAAGGTTGTTCATCCCTTGAATTTTAAGCAAAATCTGCCATCCGGTTTAAGAGGAGTTGCGTTCACAAGATTTTGGGATGTACGGACAGACTTAAATTAAGATTTAAAAAATCAGGAAAAATCTATCAGTATGTTGCATTACCAAATGTTATTTCTTGTGCGCCATTATTGTTCACAAAATTGATGAAACCTGTATATGCATCTTTACGCATGCTGGGACACACAAATTCTGGTTATATTGATTACTCTTTATTAATGTCAAATTCCTTTACTGGTTGTGTTCAAAATGTAAAAGACTCAATTGATTTGATGTCAAATGTTGGATTTGTTATTCATGAGAAAAAATCTGTTTTAATTCCAGCAAAGAAAATTACATTTCTTGGAAATGATATTGATTCTGAAACTATAGAACTCCGCGAGTCAGATGTGTCGCCTTGTGAACAATATAGTTTAGGAGAAATGGCCAGGAAAAAAATGAAATATGAAAACTAACAAAGGTCAATAACTTAAAATTTAATAAGTGCAGAGCAACAGTTTCTATGTACTGCACTTCTTATCTTATCAATAAGATCTATCATTCTATGAAGTTTCAAGTCCATATCTTTTATAAGTTATGAGAAATAGCCTGGACAAAAATAAAGTATGAAAATTAATAAAGGGTAAAAACTCACAAATAAGAAGTGCAGAGTACCGGTTCTTGTACACTGCACTTTTTCTTAATGAGATCTATCATCCTATGAAGTTTCATGTCCATAGCTTTCATACTTGAGGAGAAATGACCGGGACAAAGTATGAAAATTAACAAAGGGCAATAACTCAAAAAATAAGAAATGCAGAGTACTGGTTCTTGAGCACTGCACTTCTTCTTAATGAGATCTATCATCCTATGAAGTTTCAAGTCTATTGCAGCTGGCTTTTATACTTTCGGAGAAATGGCCCGGAAAAAATAAAGAATGAAAATTAACAAAGGGCAATAACTCAAAAAATAAGAAATGCAGAGTACCAGTTCTTGTGCAATGCACTTCTTCTTTATGAGATCTATCATCCTATGAAGTTTCAAGTCCATAGCTTTTATACTTTAGGAGAAATGGCCCGGACAAAAATAAAGTATGAAAATTAACAAAGGGCAACAACTCAAAAAATAAGAAAGGCAGAGAACCAGTTCATGTGCACTGCACTTCTTCTTTATTAGATCTATCATCCTATGAAGTTTCAAGTCCATAGCTTTTATACTTTAGGAGAGATGGCCCGGACAAAAAACAAGTATGAAAATTAACAAAGGGCAATAACTCAAAAAATAAGAAATGCAGAGTACCGGTTCTTGTGCACTGCACTTCTTCCTAATGAGATCTATCATCCTATGAAGTTTCAAGTCCATAGCTTTTATAGTTGAAGAGAAATGGCCCGGACAAAATTAAAGTATGAAAATTAACAAAGGGCAATAACTCAAAAATTAAGAAGTGCAGAGTACCGGTCCTTGTGAACTGCACTTCGGGTTCATGAAAGAATCTGTGATGCGAGCCTGTACGGCTGGGGATCTGTATGTTCAGATATTTCTATTGGCAGCAGATGGACTGAAGATGAAGCAAAAAATCATATAAATTACTTAGAATTATTAGCTGTCTTTTTGGCACTAAAGTCATTCTGTAAATTCCTAACACATAAACATGTTCAAATAAAATCTGATAATTCTTGTGCAGTTTCATTTATAAATAATATGGGTGGTTGTCAGTCATTAAAATGTGACAGCATTGCTAATGCTATATGGCAATGGTCCATAAAAAAGAACATTTGGTTGTCTGCTACTCATATTCCACGTAAACATAATATAGCTGACTACAGTTCATGTGTATTCAAAGAGAATATTAATTGGAAACTTAATGAAAATATTTTTGAAAAAATTTCAACTTTATTTGGTAAACCTGAAATTGACATGTTTGCGTCTAGGGTTAATACACAATTACCAAGATTTGATTCTTGGAAACCAGACCCAGATGCAGAAGATATAGATGCTTTTTCTGTATGTTGGGGTGATCAATATTTATATGCTTTCCTTCCTTTCAGTTTGTTTGGAAGACTTGTACAGAAAGTTCGGCAGGACAAGGCCGAAGTATTGCTGATAGCACCGCTTTGGGTAACACAGAACTGGTTTACAACCATTCTAGATATGATACTAGACACTCTATTAATTTTCAAAGTTCAGAAAGATGTTCTAACTATTCCAAATTCTCTGAGAATTCATCCTCTAGTTGACAAACTACATCTGATGGTATGTCGTATATCAGGCAGACCTTCAAAAGCAGAAAACTTTCGGAACAATCTACAGATATCATCATGGCATCTTGGCGAAGATCAACCAAAAAGCAATATTCCACGTATATTAACAGATGGATTTTGTTCTGTCGTAAAAAACAGATGGATGCAGATGCGCAGGCTGGTCTGGATCCATGCTGGTCACAAACCCATTATGTTGGTTTTGTCGTGACGCGGCTCATTTATTGTTTTTATCTCATATAGATAAAATGAAACATGCTTTATTGTTGTTGTTGTTGGTTTTTTTTTCGAATTGTATGTTTATGTATAATAATAATCAATAAATTTGAGAGTTGATCTATGTTTATTAATTATTGTAACCAAACTAAGTGACAAACATTCATTTTGGAAAAAAAGCTTATTTATCTATAAAATATCTGTTCTGTTCTGTAACGATATCAAACATCTACTCCAAAACTGTGAGAGACCGGACAATAAACATGTTATATTATTCGCCGGTTACTAGTAAATCCCGGTCAAAATAGACCGGGAATTACCGATAGCAGTACATCCCTCTATAAATAGATTTTCGGAATGTTTAGGTCATCAACTCATCATTCTATTTTAACATACCATAATAACCCACTGTGTACTACAAAATGATAAATAAAAAAACCCGAAGAGACGGAAAAGGTTATTTCATGCATTGCGAAATTCTCCAGTTCGCTATTCATTGTACATATCGAGCCATTTTTTTTAAATCAAGCACCCTCATACCGATCGGAATGATCGGCTTTTATTATGACCGACTTATTAAGGCTCGAGAAGTTGCTGTCGCCCTTTCACAAAATCTGATTTCATTCCATAAGGGCGCCCCGCTTCGGCGTGGACGCCAATGATACTGTATGATGTTATGTCAAAAAAGGTTTGTCTATGCTTTAAAGTCTCATTTGATAACGGAAGTTGTATGACGTAAAAGAATCCCCCAAACAAACAAGACTTACCTGGAAGTTGATGTTTGGTTGTGATTCTTTGTAGTCATATTACAACTGGAGGGATCAAATGCCCACCCTATGAAATTGACCCTCCCAGAAACATTTGTTAAATGTTTCAATAGTTATAATTTACAAATATATGATTTTAAACTGGATAACAGTATTTGTATATTTGATCCAGATTTTAGACAAAACCTTTTTTGTGAAGCTTTAAATACTGATTGTCATGGTCATGGTTAGCGCGCATCTCATTTGATCCCTCCAGTTGTTATATGACTACAAAGAATCACAACCAAACATCAACTTCCAGGTAAGTCTTGTTTGTTTGGGGGATTTTATGTCATCAATATATCAATGTGCCAATTTATGGGGAAAGATGAAAAAAAACCTTTGCTTTTTGTTTACATTTGCGTTAAAAACTTTGATGAAGGTACTGTGTAAGTGGATATTGCTGCGTGTAGAAAAGTTTGCGAATTTAAAATTCCAAATATTTCGCGCAAGGAAATATAAGGGGATCGTGGAAGGGTAAAATTTAATGACAGGTTGGTTGATATTTACGCTAGAGAAAATTTAATCGATTTTCATCAAGTTGTGAAATATACCAATATTTCCAATTATTGCCAATTATTTTTCATCAATATAATGTAGTGGTTTTTAATTCTGCTAGAATAACTTTAAAAATGCATGACAAAAATATTTTGGGTATCCTTATTACTACAAAACATTTAATAGATGAGTCGGCTACAAAATTTTACGAAGCTGGACACAAACAAAAGAATTTTACCCTCAGTTATCTATACTGACTTACCTAATAAAACAAAAGAAGTTTACCGTGAGTAGAAGAGGTGCTTGCCAAAGAAGATGATCCAAGTATGTACCAGCAACAAGTAAATGTAATCTATAATCCTGCTCCTTTTCACCTTGATGTAAAGATATCCCGTCATGATTACATGTATCTTCTCGTTGGTAAATTAAGTTTTCTGAAAATTGGTATGACATTTTTATGTAAAAAAGAGTAATACAGTCCAACTCTGCTTATTCGAAGTGCCAGGGACTAAAAATTACTTTGAATAATCAATGGGTTCGAATAATCTAAATCAGAATATTAATATGATAGACAGTGTTCAATCGAGAGAGCGCCATTGACCTCCTGAAAAGACCGCCGACGCAAAACAAATTCAACTGTGGGCCCGATGGGCGCACTCATAGAAAATGCCATTAATGATCTAAAACCTGATTAAGTACATAAAAGTTTCTTGTGAATAATATTAATAAATACTGAATTCAAAACTGAAGTTTGTATAGAAAAACAAGAGCATGTTGGTAAGATAGTTACCGCACTCGGTAACCCTTTTAAAACCTTGATCGGTCAGGGTCTGTTAATACTATGCAGACCTGTTCTTTGTACCTTAACTATTACTTACTTTTGAGTCACAGTTTTTATAAACAAAACAAATTGTCACAGATAATCCAATACGTGTGTGTAGTTACAGTTTTTTAACGGTCAAAACAAATTAATATGCCAGAACTTTCCAGAGGAAAAAAAACTATATATTTGTGAAAAAGTGCGAGTTAATTATACAGGTGTGCATAAATTATTACGAACACACCTTCCACCAATTAAAAAAAGTCTTAAAATGGAGCTAATCAAACACAATTGGCTAGGGAGTGTCTGACAATTGAGTAAAAAAACTTTGATTGGTCTTTGGTGCATATCATTAATCAATACAGACATCTTAAGCGTGACGTAAGAACTGCTGCCCTGACAAAAGATCAAAGGTACCGGTATGTCAATATACATTGTCTTAGCACCTGTTGACACTTTGTTTTTAGATTGGATATATTGAGAAGGGTAAATGTTTTTAGCAACTATTGTAAGCTTATAAGCTAATTGCAAAATATGATTTTCCTTTTAATATATATATCGGGCGCTGATTAAAAAACTGAACATTGTTATCAAATATCCCAGGTTCCATTTAAATAAGATTCATATGTTTCTTTGAACATTATGTCATTGTTTCTTTACCAATCAGTTCTTAAAATTGAGTCTGCATCAACGTTAACAGCTAGAAGTCTTGAAAAAGGTCCAAATAATGAAAATTATTTTTGAATTAAAATAATTCAATTTATCCTTCAAGAAATCAGATTTGTTTACATTAGCGGTTGCTATACAATCGGATTAATTCTAACCTTATTGTGTTAGGTGTAGAATACTACTGGTTACTGTTGTTCAAGTTAATTTTATATAGCGTAAACAGGTACCAGATAATTGGCTATAAAAGCACGAAATGCCCGTGCAATTTCCTCTTTCGCCTTTACACACGGTTCACTATACAAGTAAAATAAGATAATGCCACGTGGTCGTGGATGCCGAAGAAGAGTACCGTCTCAACATAGCCATAACTTGAGACATAGGCAGCTCAATGATGTTCAGTCTGCAAGGCAAACTCGCAGTCCAGCGGCTAGAAATACCAGGGGCGCACAACCCGACGCTGAATTCTCGAGAGGGGATGAAATTCCACCCCATCGGAGGTCAGCGAGGGGGGAACAGACATGCACAAATGGGCAGCCGGCGCAGTCCAGAGGCAGTAAACGGTCGATTGACGAGCTGGGTGAGGCAGAGAACAGGCTCCTGCAAGGAGATGCTGGTATGTCAAATTTTGTCGATTTTGAACAAATCATAAATGCTTCAGGTTTAATTTCTGAGAGAGATAGGTCTGCTCGTGCAGCAAATACTGAATCTTTAGGGTGTGGCGTATCGAACCAAAATTTGAATTTAGTACCTTTTCCCTCGAGGGATTCTAGTAGTACTAGTCATTTCTCAAATTTAAATACAGGCACACGTGCACCAAGCGTGCCCCCGTTACGTCTAGCAGACGATGATATAGCGGCTCACGTGCCTACGTCTTTAAAGCAACAAATTTGTAGGGGAGAGTACATAAATCTCGCACTCCTTTTGAAAGGTGCTATAGAATTAAATGAATTCTGTAAGGGTGGCCTTTTTAGGGTGAGTTTTGAAGGAAATATTGTCTCATCTTCTCGGGAATGTAAAGAGCAAATAAACAGTATCGAGAAATGGACAAATGCATTCCTTATTTATTCCTCAATTTATCTATCAAATCATTCGGATAGAATGTACGAAATCTTGCATTACATGTTTAACATAAGAGAATGCGCTATGCGTCAAGGGGGTTTTGCTTGGAGAACGTATGATGAACAGTTTAGGCTTCGTCAGGCAACAGCCAACGCATCATGGGCTCGGATAAATAATGATTTATGGTGGCGTTGTTTCCAAGTGGTACAACCCTCAAAACCACAAATATCAAACCCCGACCTGGTGTGTTTTGATTTTAATAGAGGAAATTGCCATTGGTCAAATTGCAAATATCCTCATGTTTGCAAAAAATGTCACGGACCTCACCCAGAAATAAATTGCCCCCCTTCTTCTTCTTCGGAAACTTCTAATCTTAAGTCTGACCGGTCTTCGTCTTTCCAAAAGACATTTCGAGGGAGAGGTTTCCGAAGTTTTGCTAAAGGCCGGGGCTCTTCTTTCGACAAATACGGTAAATAAGGTTAAAAAGGTTACCGACACACAAAATGAAATGGCAAATACCGATATTTCTAGTTTAGCTTATTCTCCCATAAATATTACTATGTTAATGCATTATTTACAATTTTACGAAAGAAATGAAGCTCAATTTTTATATAATGGTTTTAAATTTGGCTTTCCGCTTCAGTATGAAGGTCCCCGTATTCGTCGGGGTTGTAGCAATTTACGTTCCGCAAGGTTAAAGCCGGAGGTAATTGAAAGTCAAATTTCTAAGGAAATTCAAGCAGGAAGGGTCGCCGGCCCGTTCGTTTCTCCCCCGCTTCCAAAGTTAATTGTTTCACCTATTGGTCTTGTTGAAAAGAAAACTCCTGGCGAATATAGAATGATACATCATTTGTCTTTTCCTCCGGGGGAATCTGTAAACGACTATATGGATCCAGCTTTATGCACGGTTCGATATACAAGTTTTGACGAGGCCGTTAAGATGGTACAAGAGTTAGGTCCCCATTGTAAACTTTTTAAGTCGGATATTAAGAGCGCTTATCGCTTAATTCCAATAAATCCCTCCGATTTTGAGCTTTTAGGTTTTTGTTTTAAAAATAAATATTATTTTGATAAAGCATTGCCTTTTGGGGCCTCAATTAGCTGTGTAACTTTTGAACGGTTTGCTAGGTTTTTAGAATTTTGTGTAAAATCTAAATTTAAATCCGGTAATTTAATACATTATCTTGACGATTTTTTGGGCGGAGATAAAACAACAAATTCTTGTAACAAGGCTTTAGAAATATTCAAGGATACCATGACTGAATTGGGTGTTCCTTTAGCCATGGATAAAACTGAGGGCCCGACTGAATGTCTGATATTTTTAGGCCTAGAATTAGATTCGGACAAAATGCAAGTTCGGATACCCATGCCAAAAATTCAGGAAATAATTGATAAAATTTTGTACATTTTGAGTCGGAAAAAGTGCACTGTGAAGGAAATCCAGTCACTAATAGGTTCTCTTAATTTTTGTTGCCCGGCAATTATTGCAGGTAGACCATTCCTACGCCGGCTTATTAATTCAATATGTGGGCTTAGTAAGCCTTTTTTACGTGTTCGTATTAAAAAAGATACAAAACAGGATTTACTTATGTGGCTAGCTTTTCTTAAAAAATATAATGGTATTTCAGTTTTTCATGACAAATTTTGGGTGTCTAATGACGATGTACAGCTATTTTCAGACAGTGCTGGCGGTGACAATCTAGGGTTCGGTATCTATTTTCAAGGTCATTGGTGTCAGGCAAAATGGCCGGAATTTTGGCATAAATCTGGTATTACTGCTGACATAACCGTTTTAGAACTTTTCCCGATCTTTGTTTCGTTATTCATTTGGGGCAATCATTTAGCGAATAAGAAAATAAGATTTAACTGTGATAATATTGCAGTAGTTCACATCTTAAATAAGGCAACTTCAAAGTCAGATAGAGTAATGAGCTTGATGAGGGCAATTACTTTAAGATCCCTGAGTCTTAATGTCTTAATCCGAGCAAATCATGTGCCGGGTACTTCAAATGATATCTGCGATGCTTTATCTCGGTTTCAGTTAACCAGATTCCGGAAGTTGGCTCCAGACGCAGACTTACATCCTTGCCCGTTCCCAGAATTCCTATGGAATGTCTTCAGTACAGAGCTAGACGACTGGTACAATCGGGAATAGCTTCAAATTCTATGTTAACTTATAACACTAGCATAAATGTCTTTAATACATTCAGACAAAATTATAATTTGCCAAATCAATGGCCATTTCCAATTCATCATATTTCTTTATTTATGGCGTTTTGCTTCGAAAAAGGCCATTCACCGAACACAATTTCTACCTATATTGCAGGGATAAATTATTTTCATAAACTTAACGGATTTTACGACATTACCAATATCTTTGTAATTCAGAAATTGTTAGAAGGGTGTAGAAGAGGTCGTCCTTGTCGTGATATCCGGGCTCCACTAACAATGCAGATCTTAATTTCCGTATATAATACTCTACCAGGAGTATGTTATAACAACTATGAGTGCAAACTATTTTCAGCTCTTTTTGTTTTGGCTTACTTCGGACTTTTTCGTGTAAGCGAATTGGTGAGCTCACTCAGTGACGACATGCTTAGCCTTTCGGATTTATCTTTTGTCGATAATAAAAATTATATCATCATTCAGTTACGTCGATACAAGACAAATCAGAGGGGTATCCCAACATATTTGAAGATTCCTTGTGAGCACGGAATATTGTGCCCGGTCCGGTCCATGTCTGAATATTTAAGTTTAAGGCCTCGTTCACCAGGTCCTCTTTTCTGTCATAGCAATTTAACACCGGTTACTAGATCTCAATTTTCGGCAGTTTTGTCTAAATGTATTAGCAAGACAGTTTTGTACGGATTTATGTTTTAAGTCACATAGTTTTCGGATAGGAAGGGCTACTGATTTAGCATCTCAAGGTTACAGCTCGTCAGTTATCATGAAATTGGGTAGATGGAATTCTGGTGCTTATAGATTATATATTCGCCAGTAGGTCCCGTGTAAATCAATTTTTCGGTTCGAAATAACTTTCGTTTCATAATTAAGTTTAAATGCATTTACATTTAGATGTGTGGGTTTTGGGAGATTCAATCCCGTTTTGGGCTGGAAAGAGAGCACAAGATACTGGCAAGGAGAATCTGCGGTTGAGGTGCAACATTGCTTGGTGGGGTGAACGAGGCCTGCGTTGGACTCGTTTCCGGAGGTCAGTTGAAGCTCAAGTTCTATTATCGACACCTCCATCAGTTATTATTATCAACTTAGGCGGAAATGATCTTGTGAGCTTACCCCTTGTTACTTTAAAAGAATTAATCAAATCAGAGATAAACTACCTTCGTGAAGCTTTACCTGATGCTATTATTATATGGTTTGACATTATTCAAAGGCAAACTTGGTCGGGTGCAACTTCTGGGTGGGTTGCCATGGAGAAAAAACGTAAGCGTATAAATGGGATTGGCCGTTATTTTGTCGGTTCATCTGGTAAAAGTGACGTAATTAAAACTGATATTGACGCTAAAACTGGTTTTTTCCGACCGGATGGAGTTCATTTAAATGACGTTGGCCTTGAATTTTATCTTGATTACCTCAGGGATGCTTTAATTAGAAATAATATCTTGTGTCGATAGAAGTTTGGGGGATAAATTTTCTAAAATTTATTTGTGGCCTGAAAATTCTATCGACTGTTGGGCAGGCAGGCGTGCTCGTCTTAATGGGGCAGGTTGGTTTGATTCACGCGTCATGTTTATTCCAGACGGTGAATCAGATCTTCAAGTCGGGATCATTTACGGTAATCTTGGACCGATTGTGATGGCCTAATTGGTGGACAACTGTATGATAATTTTTGTTCGTTGCTATACTTTAAGCGTATTAAACAATGGTGCATGTACCACGCCTGCTTGCCCTTCGGTCGAACACAATTCTGAGCGGCCAAAATTATTCCATAATATTTTAATAGAATCATTTTTTATCAAATTTGGAGTAAGGTATTGAAAGCTCAATCGTTATACATGTATATGATATTGCTATACATATGTATGAAATAAATACAATTGAAGTATAATTGCACAGTTAGTTATTTCATTTTATTTCGAGTATTTGGATAATGAAAATTATTTTTGAATTAAAATAATTCAATTTATCCTTCAAGAAATCAGATTTGTTTACATTAGCGGTTGCTATACAATCGGATTAATTCTAACCTTATTGTGTTAGGTGTAGAATACTACTGGTTACCGTTGTACAAGTTAATTTTATATAGCGTAAACAGGTACCAGATAATTGGCTATAAAAGCACGAAATGCCCGTGCAATTTCCTCTTTCGCCTTTACACACGGTTCACTATACAAGTAAAATAACCCGCCCGCCACACCCTATTTCTGTACTTAATGAAGTTTCCTGTTCATAATAATAATAAAATGTTTAAGACTTGAACCATCATTATTGTTTGTCAACTGTTTTTTATGATCAAAGATACTGCCGCTTGTTATTTGTATATTGCAGACATTTGAAATTCAGTTGCTTATGTTGGATGTGATGTTTAACCTGGAACTCCACAAGATGTTCTCATAGCGTAACAGATTGAGCGCACATCATCGCCAAATAAGGACCAGTAATTTGTGTTCATAATGTGGTCAGCGTCAACATAGTTATAGTGTGAAGTGACTGGTGCCGAAAAGCTTGTTTTACGCACATTTTAATTCATTGTGGAGATTGGTTAAACCCATTTGTGTTTTTCAGTGTTACTTGTTTATTTCAAAAGTTATGACTTTAAACAATGGTATATATGAACCTGTTTTTTATTTTAAATATGATTTATTTCAAGCATGTCTGTTAATTTTGTGCCAACAGAATTTCATTGGTTACTTAATGAACTCGTCGCTCTTTAAGATCGTTTTGACCGAGGGGCGATCTGTAACGGTGGTTTTAACTTTGGTATTTTTTGCCTAGCGTAAATTATAAAATCAAATACTAGTAATTTATGTTCACCAAATACTAGTATATTATGTTCACCGTCATACAGTTGTCTATGCTGCTAGTCTAAAAAATACAAGTTGAAGAGCTGTATATGTAGTAGTGTTATTCAGCGCTAGCGTACTTAAAGGATTTGCTCGTGCAAAATGTACTATGCAGTACTTGGCGAATCCTGCTTGCTTGGACTGAGTTTGGCTTACCGTGTGTTGTTTGGTGGTTGTCAGTTTTATTCATGCGTCATGTTATCCCAGGCGATGATTTGAACTATCAACCTCTGATCATTTACGGCACAGTGTACGGACTGTAGAAGCGATCCCATGCGTCTTGGTTCGCTGCTATGCTATGTTGTTCTTGGCTATATGTAAAGCTACGCTATGTTTATACCAAAGTGTTTGGTACAGTATATATTGTGTTTCGGTATAGTAGTTGAATAGTTGGTTTGGTTCAAGTGTTATGATTTTTCCAGGCATTGAAACAAACTAACATTTCTTCCGGTCTCTGGCAGTTTAATTTATGGGAAGGCTTACAATTATTTTTGGCTTTGTCGTACAATGATTGGGCAGGTTGGTTTGATTCACGCGTCATGTTTATTCCAGACGGTGAATCAGATCTTCAAGTCGGGATCATTTACGGTAATCTTGGACCGATTGTGATGGCCTAATTGGTGGACAACTGTATGATAATTTTTGTTCGTTGCTATACTTTAAGCGTATTAAACAATGGTGCATGTACCACGCCTGCTTGCCCTTCGGTCGAACACAATTCTGAGCGGCCAAAATTATTCCATAATATTTTAATAGAATCATTTTTTATCAAATTTGGAGTAAGGTATTGAAAGCTCAATCGTTATACATGTATATGATATTGCTATACATATGTATGAAATAAATACAATTGAAGTATAATTGCACAGTTAGTTATTTCATTTTATTTCGAGTATTTGGATAATGTCATTTTTTTAGTTGAGTTGATTGTTATGAAATTTTGCAACCGTTTTTGGTCTATATATGGTGCGTGAACAAGTAACTTAAAAAGATACAATACCTTATTTGAATTTGATGTTCATTTTAAGTGTTGGCCCCCTTTTTTCTCAAATGACCCCCTTTTGAAAAGTTTATGGGCCCGAAGGGCCCCCTGGAAATTTTTACTAGATTGAACACTGGATAGAGGATAACTACTCCACTTTGGCCAATCATAGCAAATCTACCATTTACAACACACTCGTTTCCTGCGATCAATTGAAAAAAAAAATGTGTAAAAATAATTTTTTAGTGGTATTGAAGACATAAATACTTTCATTTTTTCTACGTTATGTATCGTTTCATATCATTTTGTGCAAAGCCTTGATTATGGCCGTGTTGTCACTACGGTATTTACAGCTAAACGCCGGTATTTTCGATTTAATTAGAGTAAAGACTCTGATGAAGCATTACAATTAATGAAGACAAAATTTTTTTGGCTGTTTTGAGAAATTCATATATGGAGAATTTATGAAAAATATCGCTGTCAATTCTTCAACCAATAACAGTACCAACATCAGACACGGTGCATATTTTTTCATTTTTGGTAACTGAAGTTAATGAAAGAACACACAAAGGGTAATTATCATGATTGTTTAAATACACACGGGACCAAAATTTACTTCGGAAAATGGGAGGGATTCGGATAATGCATTTCGAATAATATTTTTGTATTCATATAGACTTAAATAGAAACTAGAAATGTGTCCATAGGACATTGGTGCCCCCACCGCACCACTGTTCTGTCAATCTTTTTACTAAGTCAAGGGAAATAAATCTACAAATACTGGATAAATCCACAAGTGAAACCCCAGGTGCAAATCTAAAATATGCTGAGCAACCTGCCCATAAGGTTTAATAACTATGTCAAATCCTTTTTGAGAAACTAAGTGAAGGGCAATTACTCTAAAAATACTTAATAAATCCAGACGAAAATACCTGGTGCACAACTGCACATGCTGATCAATATTCCTGTGAAGTTTCATGACTCTAGGTCAAATACTTTTTGAGTTACGAGCGACACATGTTGAAAATTGCCAAATTTTACTAACTCAAGGGCAATAACTCTGGAAATACTAAAAATATCCAGACGAAAATACCCAGGTGCACAACTACACATGCTGATCAACATTCCTGTAAAGTTTCATGACTCTAGGTCAAATACTTTTTGAGTTACGTGCGACACAAGTTGAAAATTGCAAAATTTTACTAAGTCAAGGGCAATAACTCTGAAAATACTAAAAATATCCACACGAAAATACCCAGGTGCACAACTACACATGCTGATCAACATTCCTGTAAAGTTTCATGACTCTAGGTCAAATACTTTTTGAGTTACATGCGACACAAGTTGAAAATTGCAAAATTTTACTAAATCAAGGGCAATAACTCTGAAAATACTAAAAATATCCAGACGAAAATACCCAGGTGCACAACTACACATGCTGATCAACATGCCTGTAAAGTTTCATGACTCTAGGTCAAATACTTTTTGAGTTACGTGCGACACAAGTTGAAAATTGCAAAATTTTACTAAGTCAAGGGCAATAACTCTGAAAATACTAAAAATATCCACACGAAAATACCCAGGTGCACAACTACACATGCTGATCAACATTCCTGTAAAGTTTCATGACTCTAGGTCAAATACTTTTTGAGTTACGTGCGACACAAAAGTGAACGGACGGACGGACGGACGGACAGACAAGGGTTAATCTAAATGCCCGCCACTAACGTGGGGGCACAATAAAAATGGGACTGCCGATCTACTTCGGATAATGACAGGTATTTAAATAAAGGGTTGTCAAATAACCAGGGTCGGACTGTATATACCTTTTCCATTTAAATTTCTCTTTGACAGATATAATTTACGTATCCAGTGAACAAAGATAGCTTTCCTTTCATCAATTTATTTCATTGAACCTATTCAAAGAAATCACTGCTGGGATCGATAAAATTGGAAATTGGGGCTAAGTTATAAGGTTTTGGTTTTCTTAGGTCAAGATTCAATGCTACATGCAAAAATGTACTGAAAGACCAAATACTAGTCGGACGTTTGGGCAAAGTTATAAGGTTTGTTTTTTAGGTCAAATTCAATGCTACATGTAAAAATGTATTGAATGACCAAATACTAGTTGGACGTTGGTGCAAAGTTACAAGGTTTGGTTTTTTAGGTCAAATTCAATGCTACATGTTAAAATGTACTGAAAGACCAAATATGGGTGCAACAGATTAAATTCAAGTAGTTTAAAACAGGTGAAGGTCAGCATTATAAAAGGAACTGTGAGCAATTTAAGTCTCATTAAAATTAAAAGTGAAGCTGATTTGGCATTGACAAATAAATTGGGGACATTATATAATAGGTAAGTGACAAGTGTAGGACAAAAGCCCTCCTAGATAAAAGCCCTCCCTTCGATTGAAAAGAAAAAAACAAGGTATTCAAATTACATATACAGTAAAGACTGTCTTAGTGACCCCCTGTATATAGCGACCTTCTGTCTTTAGTGACCATAGTAAATAGGTGCGCCGAACAGTATTTACTATATAAAGGGTCTGTATGTAGCGACCACCTGTCTAGTCCGTATAACGACCATGATTTAGTATATGAGCCGTACAAAGCGACTTTTGCAAGGCTTGAGCTAGGAGGCGACTTTGGCGTAGAAGTCGCCTTCGGATCAGCGACTTTGCCTAAAACCAATTTCAAAGCGATTTTGAAGTCGCCCGATTTTTTAATGATCTGTCATACTTATTAAAGCCGATAGGTATGTTAACAATTTGTTTACCTCTCAATTACAACCAATCACTGTTAATCCGCTAGTTAAGAACGCGTGTCAACATCAACAAAGTTTAATACACGCCGCAAGGCAAGAGTTCACTATGTATATTATGTATTCATGCGATTGACGAATCAGAACGCGTGTTGTATCTACGGCAGTTTGCATTGACCAATCGGCGACACACTAATACACTAAGGCTGTTTGTTGACAATTACACATAATGGCGACAGATTCAATCAATTTTCGTAAAGACACCTGCATATACATAATTGCTGCGGTGCTTTGGCGAGTAAAGATAATCAGTGCCTAACGTCTTAAAGGTGTGGTTATGTTCGAAAACTCGATTTTTTTCAGAGCACTTATCTGTAGAAATTATGTGAAGATTTGTATCTCAAACATTCTGGCTTGTGGTCAAATCGCTAAATGAAAAATATAGACGATGACCAGCCTGACTCATTGCCAATATGGCAAGTGGAATAATCCGAATTGCTCTATCTGCCCTGAATATTGTTACCAACTAAACATACTCACTACATGTATACAGTATATGTAAATATTGTGTTTGCTATTGGTATACATTTATGAAAAGTAGATTTATAGTAGAATTCTTTTATTTGAGGTGTTTTTTTATTTCTTTTCTGGTTTATTCCTAGCTTATAATTCTCCAGATGACGCCTAATATATCTCCCAACTTATCCCTAAAGTCTTGAACATATCCGAACCAAATAGAGACTGTCCACAGTGACTCCCTGTCTATAATGACCTTTTTTCTTTTCTCCCATCGAATGTCACTGTAAACAGTTTTTACTGTATATTATTAGTTATAAATGTTTTTTGACAGGTTACATAGCCCTATATAAATGGTTGTTTGCAAACAACCGTTTATATTCGACAATATAACCTGTCAGAAATATTTATCACTAATTTATAATACATCAAGCATCATTTTTAGAGGAATAAAGCGAGATTTCTATATAAATTGACAGCAGTCGTGTATATAAAATTATATAAACGATTATCCAATAAAAAGCGAAATAACAAACATGAAGTATTATAAATATATATTTGCTGCAGGAGGGCTTATGTCCGCCTTGTCTTATACACGAGAGGTCTTTTGTCTGCCATGTTATTTTTACGGGAGGTCTTTTGTCCGCCATGTCATTTTCATGGTAAGTCTTTTGTCCGCCATGTCATTTTCACAGGAGGTCTTCTGTCTGCCTTGTCATTTTTGGACAGGAGGGCTTTTGTAAGCGACAGGCTGTTATAAAAGTGACGCCGTTTTCACATCCTGGGCATGTTTTTTAATCAATGTGGCTGCTTTTATATAAGGTTTTCATTTTCATCTGTGACAACAGATATGCTAACTTAAATAATTTGGCCAGGGGACAAGAGAAATATGTTGATCCATAGGCAACAGAAAAAAACCAAGAGATTCTAACAGCATTTTAACCAATGACATGGACTGCCATTTTGTTAATTATGAAAACAAAGTATATTGCAAAATGGAGCTATCATTTTTAAAGAGTATTTGTAGACAGCTTATAGAAAGTTCAAACAGAATCCCTAAAGAAAAAGAGCAAAAAGAAGGAACTTTACCTCCATATTCTTCTAATGCATAGGACACCTTACAGGTATAGGGCAAGACTTCTGGCAAGGTTGGCTCATTACATGTGATAGTAAATGGAGTTGTCATTGCCTGTCCAGTAACAGGTGATACCTCGCATACAACCTTTGTGTTATCGTAATACTGATAAATAAATGATGTCATTCCTTCATCTTTACTGGGATTTTGCAGAGTAACTGAAATGAAAAAAAAAACAATACACTTGGACAGTTTTAGAAATTCATAGTTACACATATGTCTTGATTTTAACTTATATCATCATCTCCTAAATATGTTTCACTTTACACAATTTGCAATTTTAAAGAAAAAAACCTTATAATTTTGGTTGAGATTCTTTGGTAAGACAGTGTTGCATCTAGGCTGTGCAATTGCGTGATTTGCGCATTTTTTATGCAGATCGCGCATTTTAATGAAGTCAGTGCGCGCCAAGTCGCGTATCTGACAATCTTTTCAACTAAGACATAATTCAGTTTATCTTCATCGTATCTTTAACGCTTCAGCCATGTTTGGTCATGACTAAAATACGTACTTAATCGCATGGAGCAGCAGACTGAGTCATCTTGCGTGTGTTTTGTAGTATTCGTCAATATTTTATTTTTTCTACTTCCGTTTTTGAGCAGACAATAGCTGTCAAAAATGCCTGGACGTAAAATAAATGAATTCTATTCGGTATATCATATTGTAAGGTAAATGTATGTCCCACACATTTTCCCCATAATTTTGAAATTGTAGATGCAACACTGGTAAGATAGGTGTAATGTTTGAATACTAAAAAAAAAAATGAATAAACAAGATTGCATTTGAGAAAAATGCTATGCCACCGCATGGTTCAAATTTCATAGCTGTACATCAAAGGACAAGAAAGTAGGTCACATCATCAAAATCTAGGTCAAAGTTCAATTTTACAACTTAAACTGTGCACATGGTCAAAATGTCATTGCTGTACATCAAAGGACAAGAAAGTAGGTCACTGTCCCCTTGGGCAAGGCATAATTTTGACCCCAGGGCTATAATTTGAACAATCTTGCTGGAGGTTCACAACACAATGTTTCATGCAAAATATCTAACTAGCATTTGTCAATTGCTAGAAGACTTTTTTTAAAGTTTTTACTATGTACATATAAGGAAAACCAATGACCCCTGGGGCGGGGCCAATTTTGACCCCAGGGCTATAATTTGAACAATCTGGGTAGAGGTCTACCAGACAATGCCTTATGCAAAATATCAAAGCTCTAGGCCTTTTGGGTCTTTACAAGAAAGTGTTTTAAGTTTTTACTATATGTACATATAGCAAAAATCAATGACCCCGGGGCAGGGCCGATTTTGACCCAAGGGCTATAATTTAAACAATCTTGGTAAGGGTCTACCAGATGATGCCTTATGCAAAATATCTAAGCTCTAGGCCTTTTGGGTTTTTACAAGAAGGTATTTTAAGTTTTTACTATATGTATATAGTGAAAATCAATGACCCCCGGGGCGGGGCCAATTTTGACCCCAGGGCTATAATTTGAACAATCTTGTAAGAGGTCTACCAGACAATGCCTTATGCAAAATATCTAAGCTCTAGGCCTTTTGGGTCTTTACAAGAAGATTTTTTAAATTTATTCTTATAATTCCTTTTGGTTGCCATGGCAACCAGATCTCTGCATGGAATGAAATTCTTTGAACAACTTTGGAAGCCCTTCACCCAAGGAACAATCCTGCCAAGTTTGGTTGAAATAGTGGGTTTTCACAAGAAGATTTTTTAAGTTCACTATATAATCTATATAACACACACACACAGGTGAATCGCTATATGCCACCGCATCGCAGATGCTGCTGTGGCATAATCAAAGCACTGAAAGTACTGGAGTGTCGATTGTGTTGTGAAATATATAACCTTTCACAGCCTGAGTCTGTTTATTGATTACGCCATTTGTTTCGTTGCAGATATGTACAGTTTATGATATTTATTCAAATATTTTAGTTCCATTAGACCTATCTCTAAAAAGAAGAAAAACATATCTAGATGGCATAAATTATAGGTTTTTACAGCAAAAGTGTGCCTTAAGAAAGATATTGGCACACTTATTAAAATATTGGCCTGAAGTTAATGCCGTTCAAGTATACCGGTATTGTCTTAATGAACACTTGCCCTGTATCATAACCTTTTTATTGCATTTGCAGCAATGCTGCCCTGTATTTTAATCTTATCAAAATCCACAATTCGGTTTGAGACTTGGGCAGCCCTTATACATGTACTCAATATGGGATCACATGGCCCCATCTGGGCGGCCCATGTACTCAATATGGGCCCCATATATCAGCCCTTGTACTAAATATGGGTTTCAAATGGGCAGCCCAGATACTTCCATTATGGGTAGATTTTGAATTCCGGGGTAGAACTATTTTCAAGTACTTCAATTATAAGTTTGCTGGACGTTAAGTTGCAACTGGCATAATTCTTGTACTTGCATTAAATATTCAAGTGATGTTTTAACTGGAACAGACAGATTATGGCACAAAGCCTTTATTACCCTGCAAGAAAACAACACACAATGTATATGCTTTAACAATGTTAACTTTATTTAGTACTCTCAATTATGGTAAGAGTGTATCATATATATACAGATTCTCAAAGACACAACTGCAAACCTACTCCCATGTCTTTTTAAATTTCTACATAATTCATAGGAAAGTATTATACATTTATTGTAATTCATTACAAATTTCTATCTACCAATTACTTTAATTTTCAAATGAAATAGTATCTATGTTTTATATGATATTTAAATTTTCAGTTTTCTTTGTATTGGACAAATGAAAAAGATCTACATGAATAAATATAAAAAGTTGTTCATTACACTTTGGTATGATAGTGCTGAAGAAAAAAATATTATACAGCTTGTGAAATGTAACAAATATAACAAGAGGGCCATGATGGCCCTAGATCACTCACCTGACTTATCAAACTCATCCAAACAATTACCTAGACAAGCATTCTGACCAAGTCTCATGACAGGTGAGTCAAAAATGTGACCACTACAGTGTTAACAAGCATTATCCATATTTGAGCATTGCGACCTAGTTTTTTACCCAGGTGACCCATGTTCGAACGCATCCGAGCTATCACCTAGACAAACATCCTGACCAAGTTTGATGATGATTGGGTCAAAAATGTGACCTCTAGAGTGTTCACAAGGTTTTTCTATTTTTAGCTCTTGTGACCTAGTTTTTCATCCGAGATGAGCCATGTTCGAACTCATCCAAGCTTTCAACTAGATAAGCATCCTGACCAAGGTTGATGATGATTGAGGCAAAAATGCGACCGCTAGAGTGTTCACAAGCAATTGTGGACGGACGACGGACATTCACCGATCCTAAAAGCTCACCCTGAGCAAGCTCAGGTGAGCTAATAAAACAAAACCTTGGCACAGTTGTAATACTGTTCATAGATGTGTAAACAAAATATACAGCTGATGAAAAGTAACAAATATAATAACAAAACCTTGGCACATAGAAATACTGTTTATTGACATGTAAAATAAACTAGAACTATCACTAAATGTGATTAATACCCCCACAAGTCTGCTTCGGAAATGAGCATGTTACTAGTAACAGAATACCTTGTAATAGAATTGAAACATAGAGTTATGGTTGTGGGCAATGAAAGATAATTGTGGTTCATGTATGTTGCATTTCCTTTCAATGTGGTTGGCCATTGATGAAGTTTAATTGAATTACTCTGTAATAAGTCCAGAAAGACAAAGAAAAAGAACAAAGGGCAATAACTCTATAAATACTGAAGATAGAGTTATAGTTCTTGTGCACTGCACTTCCTCTTATTGTGCTTGACCATTGTATGAAGTTGTTTTGAATTCCAACCAGTACGTTTTAAGTTATGCTCCGGACAAGGAAAAGTATCAAAGGGCAGTAACTCTGTATTTTGTCAAAATGGAGTTATGGCTCTTGTGCACTGCACTTCCTTTTAATGTCCTTGACAACTGTATGAAGTTGTACTGAATTCCAAACAGTAGTTTTCAAGTTATGCTCTGGACAAGGAAAAGTAACAAAGGGCAATAACTCTGTAATTAGTCAAGATGGAGTTATGGTTCTTGTGCACTGCACTTCCCCTTATTGTGCTTGACAATTGTATGAAGTTGTTTTAAATTCCAACCAGTAGTTTTCAAGTTATGCCCCGGACAAGGAAAAGTAACAAAGAGCAGTAACTCCGTAATTAGTCAAGATGGAGTTATGGTTCGTATGCACTGCACTTCCTCTCAATGTGCTTGACCATTGTATGAAGTAATAATGAATTCCAACAATAAGTCTTCAAGTTATGGTCCGGACAAAAGAAAGCAATGGAAAAGTAACAAAGGGCAATAACTCTGTAATTAGTCAAGATGGAGTTATGGTTCTTGTGCACTGCACTTCCCCTTATTGTGCTTGGCCATTGTATGAAGTTGTTTTGAATTCCAACCAGTAGTTTTAAAGTCATGCTCTGGACAAGGAAAAGAAACAAAGGGCAGTAACTCTGTAATAAGTCAAAATGGAGTTATGGTTCTTGTGCACTGCACTTCCTCTCAATGTGCTGGACCATTGTATGAAGTTATAATGTATTGCAACAATTAGTCTTCAAGTTATGGTCCGGACAAAAGAAAGCAATGGAAAAGTAATAAAGGGCAGTAACTCTGTAATTACTTTAGATAGAGTTATGGTTTTTATGCACTGCAATTCCTCTCAATGTGCTTGACCATTGTATGTAGTAATATTGAATTCCAACCATTAGTCTTCAAGTTATGGTCCGGACAAAAAAAAGGCAATGGAAAAGTAACAAAGGGCAATAACTCTGTAATTACTTTAGATAGAGTTATGGTTCTTGTGCACGGCACTTCCCCTTATTGTGTTTGACAATTGTATGAAGTTGTTTTGAATTCCAACCAGTAGTTTTCAAGTTATGCCACGGACAAGGAAAAGTAACAAAGGGCAATAACTCTGTAATTAGTCAAGATAGAGTTATGTTTCTTATGCACTGCACTTCCTCTCAATGTGCTTGACCATTGTATGTAGATATATTGAATTCCAACCATTAGTCTTCAAGTTATGCTCCGGACAAGGAAAATGCAACGGACAAAAAAAAAAAAGCAATGGAAAAGCAACAAAGGGCAATAACTCTGTAATTACTTTAGATAGAGTTATGGTTCTTGTGCACTGCACTTCCCCTTATTGTGTTTGACAATTGTATGAAGTTGTTTTGAATTCCAACCAGTAGTTTTCAAGTTATGCCCCGGACAAGGAAAAGTAACAAAGGGCAATAACTCTGTAATCAGTCAAGATAGAGTTATGGTTCTTGTGCACTGCACTTCCTCTCAATGTGCTTGACCATTGTATGTAGTTATATTGAATTCCAACCATTAGTTTTCAAGTTATGCTCCGGACAAGGAAAATGCAACGGACGTCTGGACCGACCGACCGACCACCGGGTGACTCCTATATACCCCCCCAAACTTCGTTTTTGGGGGTATAAATATGCAGCTAATGAAAGTAACAAATATAATACACAAAACCTTGGCACATAGAAATACTGTTTATAGACGTGTAAAAAAATATGCAGCTGATGAAAAGTAACAAATAGTTTGTACCAGTTTGTAAAAATAACCAGCTTCATTTCACATATCTTCATCAACAATAACAACCATAAAGGCAAGAAATAACAGTAGTATTTACAATATAATGCATTTCAATTGTTAATATCAATAGTTATAGTAACCTTTTGTGAAACGTTACTGTTGGGATCAGTTTTCTATGTGCTAATATCATTCTCAATAAGAATTTCATTAATCTTTTATCAATTTTCAATGGTTTATGGAAGTTAACGTTGAATTATATCCTGACTCACTAGCCACTCTGTGAAAAAATCATCAAATTTGATAACTGAATAAATATCAAAAAAGTTAACCAAGTATACTGAAAGCCGGAAAAAAATATGACAACAACGTCATTAAAATGACTTCATCTTTGCGATGCTTCCTGATAAAAAGTTTCTCGCATATTTCAACATTTTATTGAAAGGAACCAAACATTAGTGGAGTCTTAGACATAAAGTAAACACATACATGTATACTGTATCAATGAAAATATCATGATAAGTTCACTTCTGAGTACCAAAAATTGTTATTTTCACTCATGGCTGCGCCACTTGTGAACAACACTTTAGGTATCCACTCTGTGAAATTAATAATAATTAAAATGTGATATTACACCAAAATTAACAATTATCCTATATATCACAGAACAGTAATTAATTATGGATATATTCCTTTATAAATGTGAAATAATACTGATTTAACGAGATCAAATTTGTTGTGAAGAAGTTCATTTAAAAAATTGTCAGTAAAAATACTGTAACCCAACAAATATTCGCGACCAATTAATATTCGCTTTATTTGCGGATGACCACGAAGCGCGAATATTTGTTTGCGCGAATAAGTCCGCACGATTTCGCGAATAAATTGGGAGAGAAATTTTTATTTTAGACGTTGTTCATGCAAAGCTACTTGACTGGATATATTCGAATTTTATGGGCACCTGTTAGGAAGTAATGAATTGTTATGAATATTGCCATAAAAACACAAACTAAGTAAACTACTACTATTTTATAAATATCAAAAGAACTCTATGTCAATATAGCAATCACTATTTCATTTACATTTAAAGTCATAATGAATTGATACAGTGTTCGAATATTTATAAAGAACGTATAATTCACTCATTTTGGACATAAGTCAATCAACACCCTAAATAGATTAACTTTATAAAAACAGCTAAACATGTTACAAACATAATCATCATTATGAAACGTGCTTCTGAGCAATTATCGTCTAGTTTGTGTTTTTCACATGTCTGAAGGGAACAGACAAAAAAAAACTATTAGTTGAGAAAAACAAAGTATAATAGTGTGATACCCACCCTTTTAACGACATGTTTAGAAATGAAGACGAACGATGTGTACATGTACCGTATAAATAAAGAATATAGAGAAAATGTTTTGCTGAACTGTGATCACAATTCACTTACCAATACAATATATAAGGCTAGCGTATTGTTAATCCCATTTTAGACACTAATAATGACCTCAATTATTGAAGATTAATAGTCGGCTAGTGGATTTTACGGTCCCATCGGACTTTCCAATCCGCAAATTTTTTTTTTCGGAAATCCAGAAAACGCGGAAATTAATATTAGCGAATATGTCCGACCTCGGCAAAACACGAACATTTGTATTCGCGAATATAAATTGGGTTACAGTAGTTGTTTCAGTAATTTATCTGATATTATCAAAGTTTCAACAATAACAAAAATAAAGATTACAAGAAGCATCATTGTAAAGTATTTCAACTTGATTTTAAAGGTTAATACCATATCTATATATGTGTTCCCTGTTAGTGTTAAGTTTGGACAAGATATTATAATTGTATTGATCAGTATCAAACACATTCCCCAAGCATTTAATGTCTTGATTTAAATAGTAACAATGTTTAATGAAAAACATAGCAACAGCATATAGACAACAGAAAAACAGCATATAATGTCAACAACAAACATAACATAGCAGCAAAATAAACTGACTAGACGGCAAAGAATTTTGCATTTACAAGAAAGACATGCTATGCTGATGACCTCAAACATTAAAATTAGCAACAAAAAGTATAATAAGATACACAAATGAGCCACTTACTGTAGTTCTGACCCTTATCACATTTTAAAATACTTTGATATCTATTGACTTTTAATCATTGGAATAACTTATATGCCGATGAAGAAAAGGTTCGAAAATGTAAAATAAAAGTCATTCATTTTATGCTTTTGTGTGCATTACTGGTGTATCCGTGAAAATTATATTTGATAATTTCACAGTGAAAATGATCCAAATTTCAAACTTTTCAATGACGAGACTACTTTTTAAAGATTTTCCCCATGTGGTACCTTAATATCATTTTTGCTGACAATTCTGACATTCTCAGGACTGCTTCGAGACTAACCTATCCAAATAATATTCCTCTGAATAAAACAAAATTTATTTTCCTTAAAATACACAACATTTAAAAATGGCCGCCATTTACATTTCACAAAGCCAGGTCATACATAAATTGCCTGAGTAACAGAAATAAGGTGGGATGGTGTGACTTTTTCTTCTAGAATTGGTTGTTTTTATTATTAAAACAAGCGATAATTCATATTTTTTTAATAAAATAAATAAAATCATTGCTATTCAACGTTGATTGTCAAACTTTTTGTTCAGCCCAAGACTTCCTGTATTTATGAATAATTGGACTTAAATTCAACTAAAATTGATGTTAACAGTGGGGAAAACAGATTTAATAATTATTAAAGTTAATATTGAGGAAATTTCATTAGCATAAAATAAAAAGACACTTTATTGTTTGTTATGTAAGATGTAATTTTATATCATTGAGGGACTTTTAAATAACAGTGTTCTCACTTGTGAGAATAATGTTTTTAAAGCTCACTTGATGATATTAAATTTCATCTTACACACTAACAAACAAATATCCTCTATAGATTTGCATTTTTTAAAAATAAAAACATGTCTAGTCACTTCCTTCATTTGCTTCAGGTAAAGTCTTGGACACTTTGTTTCTTGCTTTCCTTCCCCCATCGCGGTCCCACGCCCCAGCCAGTCACTTTGAAACCTTTATTTCTACATCCTTCCTTGTTGCAGTCTTTGTCGGCAAATTCCTTTGGACACATTCTATAAAACAAGCATCCTTATCCTTAAAGAATGAAATGAAATGCAGTGAAATGTAAGTATTGAAACCATTCAGTCACCTTGTAGCATTTTGAGCAGTATAAATTGGAATATAAACTAATTCTGGTATGTTTTAACAAATATAGATGTTTATGTCCCGGTTTTACATAGCTTTTAACAATATTTCTGTGATATCACTGCAGTCAGTTGTAAGCTGAGATCATCTTATCGGTGCATCAGTAAAGAATGTTAAGGTAAGCAAATAACTTGCTTTACAGGAAGGTGATTTCTGCTTATATTATGCATCACAACACAATGCATGGGATCAAAACCACACAGCACGTAAAATATTCTCTCTTATTAATTTCCATAAAAGCTAGTCAAGCATTTTCTTTCATTAAAGCGATACCTGAAGACACAATAACAAGATCTTGGATAATATATGAGCCGTGTCACGACAAAACCAACATAATGGGTTTGCGACCAGCATGGATCCAGGCCAGCCTTAGTAAAGAAACTAATAGCGAACAGCATGGATCCTGATCAGACTGCACGGATGCGCAGGCTGGTCTGGATCCATGCTGGTCGCAAACCCATTATGTTGGTTTTGTCGTGACACGGCTCATATCTATTTTGAAGCCTTACTTAAAGACACCACTTTGCAAATTCGTAATATATCACTTACTATACAATACATTTAGTATCTAGAGGCCCCCAAATGTTTTCTTCCCTTTCAGCCCCTTCATATTGTACATTCTTGCCAGTTCATTTGACATGGTTTCTTTCATCTAGCGGTCAACAGTTTCCCGCACAACTGCCCCACCAAACATTGAGAGGAACCGCAGCTTAAATAAAGCAGAACATAAACTTTTTTTAATGTTAATTTTAACACTACTAATTTTCAAAATTTGTGATGCGCTGCAAGTCACCAAATGACAAATAATTGTCAACTGGACCTCAAATACATGATCTGCCAAGAAAACTGTTTGAATTGACAAATTAAAAGATCTTTCCTCATATATTTACAGCCTAGGACAACACCTTAGTGACTTGTGCCTTTTTGTTTGTCCCCTCCACCGAGTGTTATGGGGCACATTATCATTGTTGTTTTTTTAACACAAGTTTATACAGTATCAACAGAATAATTTTTGATATTATAATAACAGCTCAATTCCTGGATTTTGTTGGTACTAGTCATTTTCCTGGTATTTTGAAAGCTGCCAGCATTTTGATTAATGAATCGACTGTCTTGTCTTAATAATCAATGTTGAAAACGAGGCCAACTGCCCATGTCTTGTGCTCATGGCTATTATAGCATATCTAAATAATAAGATAACTGTATCAATATGAATCAAAAAATTAAAACATGCCAATTTTTAATTCCGAAATTAATGCAGCAAAGTGTTTGTCCACTGTGCAATATTTTCCTACATAAGTATAGCAGAATGATAATACATTATCATCAAGTGCTCACCACAGACCATTATGTTATTTCGCATTTAAGCCAGTGGATATGGGGTATACTTTTTTCAGTTACTAATGGTGCAACAATTACATGACTAACACTATGCTTACCACAGATGACAGCTTTGTCTGATCTCCCAGAAGCTCATCGAATGTTTCCATCTGCTCAGGAGAACGAATAGGGAATGAGATATCTTCAGGAAGCTGCAGCGGTTGGTCATCTGCTGCTGACCTTGACAACAATTGCTACATCATCCTCTTAATTTCACTATTCTCCTCCCGCATTGTCTCCAAGACTCGGAGAATCTGTGTAACAGCAGCTGCAAAAAAGGATTCATAATTCTAGGCTATATACTTTTAGAGCTATGTGAATTACAAATGAAAAAAATCCAGTATTTTAAATTTTTCCTTGGCTTCAACAGTAATTAACGCTAAAATCTCAAAAGGATTGTTGAGTGTGCAAGGTCACAAAATGTGAAAATGATAAGAAATCATGAATTAAACTTAACATATTTTTGAGCTAGGCATGTCATGGGGTGAAAATAAACATTTTTGACTATTCCAAGGACCTTAACTTTGGATAACAGTTGTGGGGTCAGACAAGAATAGGCACACATTAATTCACATCATGATAAAGACTAACACAAGTAATCATCAATTTCTTTTGAATTTTTTTTGAACTAGGGGCGTCATAAGGTGAAACTTTACATTTTTGGCTGTGTCACTCAATCCAGCTTGTTATAACATTTATTGGCTTGTTTTGAGGATAGAACATTTAATAAGTATGTACTGTAATAAATATATTTACAGCTCCGAAGTTTATACTTACTGGGCCCAATAATCTTCCCACGGGAGGGCGTATCAGAAGCACCTTGTATTGGAGAAGCACTTTGCACATCACTGCTGGCCTCTCGCAATGCCTGTGCAGATAAGCAAGGCGGAGGTAAAAGTAGGCTTCGTGCCTGTTTGGGCGTTGTTGCTTGGTCAATAACTTGTTATGGCCTTCTCTCTGTGTCTGTCTCATTCTCATCAGTGCCACTATCCGATTCATACAGCTTTTTTGATGCCCTATTTACAATAAAATGAAAATACATTAATAAGTAGTTAAAAAATACATATACATTAAGTGAGTTATTGTACCAAGTGACAATATGATTATGACCTGTACACGACTGGCAAACATGTATTAGTCTATGTTTACGCACCAAATTGTTGTGCCGCAATTTTTTCTACCAAGGATTTTTATCACGAATGCGCTCCTTTCCTGATAGGATTATTTCATGAACAGGAAGGGCTAGAGACCTGGAGTTGGTCTCATTTGGAAGCTTAATACCAATGTGAAATAATGATAAAAGATTTTTTAATTGTCTGGACAATTGTTTTCACAACGGCCTGGGTAGTGAATCCCTTGCCGTAGGCTCGAATCTAGAGTTTCCGGCCTTCTTATACTTATAGTATATTTTAAAAGGGGGTCATAATTTACAATTGTTTTTGGTTTTTGACTTTTTAAAGATGAACACAGGTTTAATTATCTATCAGGTCATATTTTTTCTTCTCAGGTCCGATACTCATACCTGTGCAACAGCTAGAGGGCTTGGTTGGTACTTGGAAAAAATACTTGAATTTGTAAAAATAAGTATTTGTATTTAATATTTTAAAATGCTTATGAATGAAATGTTGCAAAATGGAAGGGACTTCTAAGGCTAGGGGGGGACACTGGATTTCAAATGATGGTGTCCCTTTAAAAAAAAGATCTCTTAAAATTTAGTCTAGATAGAAACAATATTTTTAAAATGTTAGTGTCGACTCTGTCACAGTTAAGTAATTCAACAATAGAGCTGTCATTGATTCAGTGCAAAGCATATCAACGATATATCGATATCAAGTGACTAAAATCAACGATACACCGATATATCGATAATATCCTATACTCACTTGTCTGTCATTCACTTTCATACCTGTTTCAATGATTTCAGTCAAAAACATGTTCTGTACAGTACGTGTCTTGTCCACTGCATGATTTTTTCCAGACAATATTTTTTGTCACCATTGCTCTGAAATAATTCCACTATATAACAAAAGCATAACATTAGATATAAATTACTGCTTCTGTATATATTTTGGGTGAATTTTATAATTTCTAGACATTTAATTTATTAGTCAAAAGTATCGATTTTTTAAAATGTGTATAGATTATTGATCAGCAAAAAATATCAACGATACATCGATATTGTCGATATCGATGACAGCTCTATTCAACAATTACAACTATACACATGCATAGGTCAGCTAAAGTGCCTAAGAGTGGGCGTAAATTCTAGAAAATGTCGCAAATTAAACTGACAAACGACTATTGGGAAATTACATGGCAAAGGCAAAACCAAAAACTTAACGGCGTTTACAGCTTACCTACACACACAATAAACGTGTAAGGATATAATATGAAAGGTCATTATACGAAATCGTGGTTAAATGCTCGGAATCGAAAATGAAATATTTTTTTCGTGTACAATTTTACAATTTAACGTTTCGATACACAATTTGATTTTAAGCGGCAGCGAAAATCACGTCTGCACATGCTCAAAATAAATTTTTTCATCAAATGCTGATTTTTATAAATTATTTCTGAATTTATAGTCTAAAAAACACATTTTTATATTTAAATAATAAAAATTAAAACCAATATAAACACTTAACAAATTAATTTCTCGCACCTGCTCAGGCATGCTAATATTTATCGGGTTGCCCAAATGGGTCCCTCATGGCTTGTATAACTGTTTAAAATAATGCTACGATTTTTATATAAGATAATAGCAATTTATGCCAAGATGGTCACACTATAGCTCAAAGTAAACGAGTTCTAAAGAAATAAATAAAAGAAAAATCGTTTTTCCTTAAAGTGCTGTAATATGGTACCCATATGGGTCTAACATAGGCGTACCCAAATGGACTTGCCAATATTGGATCCATATAGGTCCAATATGGGCATACCCATATGGGCTTAACTCGCGGCCTAGGTATAGCCCATATGGGTCCCATATCTATGCATGTTTGCTGGGTATGTATTATTCAGTACAGTACCTTCAAAATCTGCCTATTCTGCACATATGTCAATAAGTATACACATTGTGACAATAAGAAATATTTAAGGTTAAATGTGGTAAATACTCTGTGATTACTTCTCACATTTACTTGATATTAATAACCAATACTCGTTACATTAAAAAGCATACTAGTGACACCGGCGAGCAACTCCAAAGCAATACTCGGTAAACTGACAATCATGTTTATTTATTCTCAAAATGCACTGTCATCTGAAATTTTATTGTTGTCAGATTGAACGTTTACACATAAATATAATCACTGTTATCACATTCATTCGATTTGACTTATTTCTTTTAAGGAATTATATGCACAAAAACATTCAATTTGACTGATCCAAGCTTATTTAATTAATCATTTACAAGTGAGCAAAGAGAAAATATTACCTCATTTCCATTACAATTCAAAATTATTTCTCAATACTTCAGTTACTAGAGAAATTATCAAAGTATTTGTTTGTCTATCAAATTATATCAAATCAATTCAAAATGACTAAATACGGTACGGTATTCCTCAGTGGAACTAGTTTTGTTGCTCTATGTTCAATTATCTTTGTTTCATGTGTTCATACCTTTCATTGTTTAACGTTTTATGTCATAATTTATATACCTTTTCTAATTGAAATTGTTATTGATGAAAGTGTGTGAGGGAAGAATTTACAGTTCATAAATGTTTAGGCTACTGGTTGGGGACCACCAAAACCGGACGGCCCTGAAAATGCATAATTTATTATTTTCTTTGTTCAGTGGTTGTCAGTCACTTTTTTATCAACAATAAATGCATGTTTCTTCTAAAAATGAATAAATAAATTTATTTCAACCACCGTATGGTAATATTTTAATGGCTATTTCAAGAATGTTGACGTTGAAATTTGGGGGGTCAAGAAAACAATGCCTGACCTCATATACCATCTATAATCATTTGCAGAGTAAACAATACAATTTCCAAAACTTCAGCATTTGTTGCTGAAATATTGTCTATCATGTTAAAAATTAAAAATCAAAACACCCAAGCTTTTATCTGAATTAAATCACGTCATGTACATAAATGTCCGGACACATGGTACTGTAGTGTAGACAATTGAGGTAATTTTGATACCTCCTTGTCGAGCCTCAGATATAAGTGTCAATACAATCAGATAACTTCTGTTTTGTTGCGGACCGAGTTGGTTTAGGGCCGCGTGGACACTTATCTTATACCTCTTCGTACACATTGATATCACACGCCTTGCTCATTCTGGGACAATTCATTTTGTTTAATAGTCAAAATCTCTGTAGGAGTATCCGATACTTACAATTTCTTCAAAATAGCCTGATATCTGTGTCAAATAACGAAGTCGAAACTGCATTTCAATCTGGCTGTTGAATAAAAATGGCGTCATTGAAGAGCCAATTGATTCACTCGGGCATTTATATAATTTCTGCGTACAGTACAAATTTAAACCAAATTGTAATTTTAATTTTCAATACTTCAATACAATTATAAATGTATGACAACCCCTTCTATATTCAATGCATGAATGGATTTTCTAACTTGTAATCGAACATACGGAACTATTTTTTTTGTCAACGAAATTCGGTTGGCAATAAGAAATAGTTCGGTTTTAGCGCGGTGCAAAAATACCGTATCTCGTGAAATGGAAAGGCAGAGTTGCGATTGTTTGGAATTGCGATTGTTTGCCTGTAGATGGGTAGTTATACCTTTGTGTCGATTGACACAATCGACACAAAAAGTATTTGACATTTTCTAAAATGCAATGATAAGATGTGAAACTTGGCATGCTGACCTGGGTTGAGACTCTCCATATATTAAAATTTTAGGTCAATACCCAAACTCTGTGAGGCTTCACAGAAATTCTTGTAAATTTATATTTCCGACATTGCTTAGTTTAACAACAGTTGTCCAAGGAGGAGGGTACTCCAATTTTCTCCTTGCTGGACAGTATACTGCAGACTTTCTAAAGATATGTCATCAGGTATATTCCAATTAACGTCCCCCCACACACCACTTTTTGTAGGAAAAAACCTTAAAGATTTATCCAAAACATCCAGATATTGTTATTTAAAAATAACATTAAAAATATAATTCTGCATTTTATAATATGAGATCATAATAATGAATAATGATTTTTATAATTGAATCATAAACATATCATATTTTAAAGCACATTTTTATAGTTCTAATAAGTGCGTCCCCACCCCTTGAAAAAATGCAAAATTGTTAGAGACTATACATTAGGTGAAAAAATACATAAATAACTCACCCTTAACTACAACGGCAAAATATGCCCAACCTGCTGTGTTGCTATGGATAATTTTTGTAAAGTCTCCTGTTGATGGACGAAACATATTATCATCACTGCAATGCACGCATTCCTAGAAATATAGATATGAATTACAAGAGTTACAAACATCCCCGCCTAAAGTAAGTTTTACATGAAGAACAAAATTGTGCTATTTCAAAAGATTAAGTTACAGATCTGGACTTTCAGTTGCACTAACATTTTGTCTTATATTTGTGAACATTCATGCCAAGAATTTCAAAACCCTTGATCGATGAAAAAGTTATGGACTCAACACAAAATATACTTTATAACAGACCATGTTAAGCTTTGACCCTGAAGTGTGACCTTTACCTTGAACGTAGGGTTCCCGTAATTGCTCATGACATATTGACCAATTATTGTGAACATTTTTGTCAAGTAATTTCAAAATCCTAAAGGTGAACATTTGTAGTATTTTCAAAGTCGCTTGAACCATGAAAGAATTATGGACTGGACACAAAATATATCCTGTAACAGACCATCTTAATCTTTGACATCCAAATATGACCTTGGAGGTAGGGGTCCAGGTGTTGGACACGACACAAAATATAGCCTATAACAGACCCCAAGTTTGACATTGATCTTAGAGGTAGGGGCCTGAGTGTTGCACAACACATGGTCTCATTGTGGTGATCATTTGTACCAAGTATTTTCAAAATCAATTGATGGATGAGAAAGTTATGGTCCTGACACAGCATATACAGCCCAACAGACATTGAAGGGATATGGATGGTGCATAAGATACATCGTCTTATAATAATAAACATTAAATTTTCTGTCTAGCCATTTCAAATTCCTTTGATGAATGGCTTTGTTCTTGACCCAAGACAATTGTGATGGACCGATAACTGGAGGACAGAGCCTATTTTTATATCCAGGACAGTAAATTGACGAAAGTGTTATAAAATTCAATATCCTAAGGAAATAGTTTCTTACATACAATTTCTAATCCCAGATTTATTTATATAAAACAATCATTCATAAATTGCATTCAGTGGTGGCATGGCTGAGAGAAGTTAATGCGTCAGACTAAAAATCTAAGAATTGCTGACTGTGTAGGTACAACCCCGTCAGGGGCAAGCTGTTAAAATCCTTGAGCAGGAAACTTTACACCCATTGCTTTGTACTGGTTGGTTGGAGGAACGAATTCGAGTGTTTCAAAAAGCTTATAGCTTTTAATACAATCAAACTAAAATTAAATTTGTATAAACCAAATTGCGTTCCATGATACATATCAAATCCATCTATATTATAGAATATAGCACATGACTTGCCCAACACAGAAAATTCTAAGCTATAAGCTAGCTAGTAATCTATTTTTAAATTTATTTGACATTGATGACTAAGCAATAAATAGAAAATATACATAGCATCATACCATAATATTTTCATTAAAACACTCTCTGAGTGACCATTGGTATGTTGGAACCCAATCCTCGCAATTAGCACATGTAACAATGAACTTCAGGTCAGACATTGACGTCATCCTCTTCATACAACTAGGTGTACAACTGAAGTTATCATAGATCAATTAAAATAGTGTTCTTGTTACAACTAGGTTTACAACTGAAGTTATCATAGATCAATTAAAATAGTGTTCTTGTTACAATTAGGTTTACAATTTTAGTTATCATAGATCAATTAAAATAGTGTTCTTGTTACAACTAGGTTTACAACTGAAGTTATCATAGATCAATTAAAATAGTGTTCTTGTTACAATTAGGTTTACAATTTTAGTTTTCATAGATCAATTAAAATAGTGTTCTTGTTACAACTAGGTTTACAACTGAAGTTATCATAGATCAATTAAAATAGTGTTCTTGTTACAATTAGGTTTACAATTTTAGTTTTCATAGATCAATTAAAATAGTGTTCTTGTTACAACTAGGTTTACAACTGAAGTTATCATAGCTCAATTAAAATAGGTGGTCTTGTTACAACAAGGTTAACAATTGAAGTTTTCATAGATTAATTAAAATAAGTGTTCTTGTTACAACTAGGTTTACAACTGAAGTTTTCACAGATGGTTTTGGTGACCTTTATGCAACATTAAAATAAAGGTGTCTTGCTGAATGAAAATGTTTATCACGGGTGACCTTTATGCACATTCAAATAAAGGCATCTTGCTAAGCCATAGCTTAGTATGTTACAGCAATTTTCTGTCTGTTTATCAAGACTATACTATGTTTTTTTTCCAGTTATCTCTAAGTGGCGAGCAATGACTGCCAAATAATAAGCCCTTTAGAATAAAGTTTGGCAACAGAAAAAAAACAAATTTAGACGGAGGGAAAGCCTAAAAATTCAAAACAACAACAGGGTCCTTGTACAGAGTTCTAAATTTTGGACATGGCACGATGTGAATACTGTTTTTCTCCAACCTCTCAATGTGACCTTGACTTTAGAACTTAAAAGGACTGACATTTCATGGTGTTCAATATTTCTATCAAGTAATACAATGCTTGTTGAGATATTCTCCTGACATGTGTGTTCCCATTATACAACCATTTTTTTACAAATGCGTATATATATATATATATATATATATATATATGAAAAAAAAGAAAAAGAATTAAGACTACTACAAACATATTAATTCAAGATAGAAATGGATTTTTAAATGATTGACACAGAAGACAACATAAATACCTGATGTCAAGTGCCAAGTTTCCACTTTCAAAAGGGTCATATGTACATGTATATGTCACTAGAAAAAGATCAAAATAGACAATTATCAATATATATATATATATTCCCCTTCCAGGTTTTTTCCGCCTTTTTGACTGGATATTGATCACCCGAAAGAAATTGATATTACCGAGCCAGACTGGTACTATACACACTAATTTTCCCTGTTGGGTACCCCACGTTCTAAACAACATACGCTGTTGCGATGCGCGTACGGTTTGATTTTACGCGATGTCAATTCTGATTAACAAGCACTTTTATCTGTCAAATGATAAATATTTACCAAAATAGAGTATTATCATACATATTCTCATTAGTAATGAAAACAAATATGACCTTGTGAAAGCTTGATATTAATTCCAAAAAAGTGGGTTCAACAGACTACTCTTTTTCTCTTGTTTACATTCGTTAGGTTCGAAAGAAAATAAGTCATGAATTTATGTCACGTCTTGTAGTGATGAACGGTTACCCTAAAGGGAATCTTATTTCGAAGTTTCATTTGAAGTAGCAATGATTTATTTTAAAATCATCTTAACTAGGCAGGGGAAGGGTAATAAAATTATTATTTTGGTTTTGGGGTGATATATGTGGATATATTTCCTGCCCAGATAAAATATCACCCTCACCTCGGGTTATATAAAATCTTGACAGGAAATATATCCACATATATCACTCCAAAACCAAAATAACATATAATATATAAATTGCTTGTAAACATTAACCAAAGTGATATGATAATAGTAAAACCGTGTATTGAGAAATCTTTACAAGTAAAAATCTCAATTTATAGGGGTGATAACTCCTGAAAAATAGGAGCTATTATAAGTTATGAACTTTAGCTAATCATAAACTTTATAATATATGCATAAGAAACTAGAAATGTGTCCATAGGACACGGGTGCCCCCACACTCGACTGTTTTGTCAATCTTATGACTCTTGGTCAAATAATTTTTGGGCTACATGTTTTACAAGTTGTAAACTATAAAAAATCAAAGCACAGAAGGCGCTGAATTTGTTTGGGTCTCAGAATGTCAGAAAGGTGAAGGTTGTGAGATTATAAACCAATTTGTTTTTGTATAGTGCCACCAATGCTTTCCGGTGTTTTAACTGTAGTAAATTGGCTATAAGACTAATTGCAACACTGATTGTCAATTCAATGTTTATTTGACTTGAAAAAAAAATGTGTTGCCTCAACTGGGATTCGAATTCCAGACTTCACGATTCATAAGCGAGCATGCAAACCCCTCGACCACGTTGAAGTTATATGTTAACGGCCAGAAGAAAACCATATTATTCTAAATTAGGTTTTGTAACTCTTATTATTACGATGCTAAACCTGTTGTTTAACACAGATGTAAATAATCATGGAGCTTACTGTAAGCATGTATATCTATAAAGAATGAAACAATATAAGAAATCTTCGACCATTTGGGAACTACTTTGCTTGAAAATTAATGCGCCTTCCATTTGACAATCTTCACGCATTGATCTCCCCTGAATTTTTCGGCGTTAGTGTACATATAACGGGAAGTAACCGCTTCAAAAAAGTGGACTACTTTAGGCATTTGCAATTAACAGCATTAGGCTCTGAAATTTCGCTACCATTATTTGTTTGGTCTGACGACCCAAACAAATAAAAATCTAATTAAAGTGCAAGAACTTTACAAATACAGAATAAATCCACAAGAAAACCCCAAAGTGCATAAGTTCACATGCTAACCAACATTCTTGTAAACTTTCAGGCCTACAGGTCAAATAATTTTTGAGCTACGTGGGACACAAGTTGAAAATTGCAAATTTGTATTTAGTCAAGGGCAATAACTGAAAAAACATATAAATTCACAAGCGAAACCCCAGGTGCACAACTTCACATGTTGATTAACATTCTTGTAAAGTTTCATTACCCTCATTTCAAATACTTTTTGACCTACATGTGACACATGTTGAAAATTGCAAACTTTTACTAAGTCAAGGACAATAACCCTATAAATACTAAATAAATTCACACAAAAATACCCAGGTGCACAACTACACATGCTGATCACAAAATGAGAATGGACGGAAGGACAGATGGACAAGGGTAAATGAAATTGCCCCCCCCCCCCCCCAAAATGGTGGCACAAAAAAACATTTATGTCATCAAAATATGACGTGGTTGATGACCAGAAATTTATATTTGAAGTTTGAAGTAAATACTTTAAAGTAATAAAGAACTTATAGTGAAAAAGTGTAAAAACTAGAATCATGTTAAGGGCAATAACTCTGACAAAAGAGAATAAATCCACAAGGGAAACCCCAGGTGCATAACTTCACATGCTGAGTAACATTCCTGTAAGGTTTCATGATTCTAGGTCAAATACTTTTTGAGTTACATGCGACAAGTTAAAAATTCTAAATTTTTACTAAGTCAAGGGCAATTACTCTAAAAATACTAAATAAATCAACACGAAAATACCCAGGTGCACAACTACACATGATGTACAGTTTCATGACTCTAGGTCAAATACTTTTGAGCTACGTGCGACACAAAATGAGAAAGGACGGACAGGATGAAGGACAGACAAGGGCAAATCTAAATGCCCCCATTAAAGTGGGGGCACAAAAATTGATACTTGACATCTGAAGTAAATCCGTAAAGAAATAAAGCTAGTTAGAAATATTTCATTTCACAAAACTTCAACAAAAAATCTGTATGAGGTTGTAGACACAAGGGTGAGACGGACAGCTCCCAATTATAATACTTTGTATAGTTAAATTAAATGATGTAAATTAAATGATATATACAATCTGTTGATCCGGGTTCTAGGCACATGTTTACAGGGCACTTTGTAGGGATCACAACACCATGCGTTGGTTTATCAGCTCCGCTTTGCTTAGCATTCTCAGCCATAGTTTGGTTACAATAGTAGCCGATTGGGCAAATATCACACGTAGGTTTTCCCTCTGCTGCCTGGTAGTAACCATCTGAACATGGTGTAGGAATACTTGCACCTAAATAAAATACCGTAATAATTCTATTTAGCGCCCGGGCTTTTATTAGAATCATAGACTTTTCGAAAGTTGGGGATGGGCGTTAATTGGAGACGCATCTTCATAAGACAAACTAATTTTCTAAGCAAGGCTTTTTAAATCCACTCGCCCCTCATAACGAATCCGAAGATAGAGCGGATGTTGATTTATAATTGCAGACAACGCTAAAGTCGATTTCGGTATCGTAACGTACCGGCTAAAGTCTGTTCTTTTCCGCACTTTAATACCGTGCATGTAGAGTCCGGTTTCCGAGCACGGGAATAAAAAATGAGCCTCACGCATTTTTACTGCAAAAATATTATGATTTTTCCCAACGAAATATTTATGTAAGGTTACCAATTAACTCTGTAATCTGGGATGTTCTATACAATTCAAAAAGTCAATGGAATATTTTGAGTCCCATCATTATGCATTTTTTACCCGCCAATATAATTGTTAAAAAAAAGTAAGAATAGTTCTGACCGATTTTACTGACACAAGCATATATGTTCCTAAAGGGATTGATGCGGGATTTTGATATAAAAAGACAATCGTCTATTGTTCAAAATAATTTTAATCAGAACTAATCTCCCATGTTGGGCCCCAATACATTGAACAACACACGTTGACCTTGCTGACGTAATTAAATAGGCGCGTGAGTTTTGGCATCTCGGAATGGTTATTTTTTATACATGTATATATATCTTATACACAAAACACATTGAATTATGGCAACACCTATGCTTGTGTTTATAAAATCTGTTATTAAGGGATATCACATTTACAAATATACATGCCCAGTCGGAACTATACTTCAGTGTAATTTGGAACCAGAAAATGAACATAGTGATAGCGCAATTATCGTAAAAAATAATGGATCTCTTGTTGGACATATACCGGAGGGATTATGTCAGCCTCTTATAAAATTATTCAAAGATGGACTTATTGTAGAAATCAGTGCCGAAATACTTGGAGAACCGCATTCGTCATCAAAAGGAACTTTTGTAAAAGGTGGTGGCATTGAAATACCGTGTACATATAAACTTTACGGAAAAAAAGACAAGAAAAAGGAAGTTCGTTCCTACGTGAAAACGGAAATAAGGAAACTTGAATTGTAAAGGTAAGCTCAATTGTACTCAAATTGGGGGATGGGCGTTTAAAAGGGGCAGTTAATTTTTCAACTTTGGGCTGAAAAATGGCCGTTTTTTGTCCAAAATATGGGGGGTGGGCGTCTATTAGAGGATGGGCGCTAAATAGAATTATTACGGTAGTTCAAATTAAAGCTGAATAAACAACATTTAAAACTTACATAAGCAAATAAATGATGAGACAAGCTTAAGGGTAAATGGTAAAGGTGGTTCAAGATGAGTGATGGTCTAGTGGTTAAGGTGTCTGCCACTCAACCGAGGGGTCATAGGCTTTCTAATTAAGAAATAATATATCCTAAACAGTGATTTTATAGCCAAATAAAATCAGTTTGGAGTTCAGATGCGAGGAATTATATCACGAGGACGTTGCATAATGACACACATTTTCGGTTTTTTAATGTTCAATAGGGAAAAATGCAGGCCATGTAAATAAAATATGACATAGTAATGATGGAGACTGGTTCAGTTCAAATATGCTTCAATCTTTGTTCACAATAAAAAAAGGACATTAATGATGACAATTGTCCGAGGTCAGTATTCTCATTGCCTGAAAGAGCGGATGGATCTACATTAAGCCTAGAATACATACATACATTCACAATTAAAGTAAAGTTTGCTGATAATCCATCTAGCTGTATTAGGAGATATTGTTTAAAAAAGAAGGTGGATAACGACTGACGAACAACTGACAGTAGACCCAGTGCAATCATAAATCAAAGCACAGAAGGCGCTGAAAGGTGCTGAATTTGTTTGGGTCTGACTCTCAGAATGTCAGAAAGGTGAAGGTTGTAAGACTATAAACCAATTTGTGTCACCAAATTCTGTTTCCAGTGTTATAACTATATTGACTATAACACTAATTGCAACACTGATATTCAATTCAATGTTTATTTGGCTAAATCAATTAAAAAAAACTGAAAAAAAATTAAGATGACCATGATGGCCCTGAGTCTCTCACCAGAAACAACTGCTTTTCAGAGTTGGAAATTATCCATTGTCAATATTTTCTGATATTTAATTTGAGCATAGAATAGGTTTAAACAATAATTTGAAAAAATTGCCATGCCCTGGGGCATTTAAGCTTCAGCTTAAACGGCGCCAATCAAATTAATATGAGCAAACTTGATAAAAGACTACCTAATAATGCTTAAAGTTTGGTGATCATCTATCAATTATTTCAGTAGGAAAAAAAAAAGTTCAAAGGTTTTTCTATTTTTAGCTTAAGTGGCCCCTAAAAGGGGCCAATCAAATTAATATGAGCAAACTTGATAAAAGCGTACCTAAGAATGGTACAGACAAAGTTTGGTGATCATCATTCAATTAGTTCTGTAGAATTTTATAGATGTTTAAAGGTATTTCTATTTTTAGCTTAAGCGGCTCCTAAAAGGGGCCAATCAAATTAATATGATCAAAATTGATAAAAGACTACCCAAGAATGCTACAGACAAAATTTGGTAATCATTCTTCAATTAGTTCTATAGGAGATGTTGAAAAGTTTTTCTATTTTTAGCTCTAGAGAACCCTAAAAGGGGCCAAACAAATTAATATGATCAATCTTGATAAAAGACTACCCAAGAATGCTACAGACAAAGTTTGGTGATCATCCATCAATTAGTTCTGTAGAAATAGACGTTTAAAGGTATTTCTATTTTTAGCTTTAGCTGCCCCTAAAAGGGGCCAATCACATTAATATGAGCAAACTTGATATCAGACTACCCAAGAATGCTACAGACAAAGTTTGGTGATCATCCATCAATTAGTTCTGTAGAAGAAGACATTTAAAGGTTTTTCTATTTTTAGCCCTAGAGACCCCTAAAAGGGGCCAATCAAATTAATATGAGCAAATTTGATAAAAGACTACCCAAGAATGCTACAGACAAAGTTTGGTGATCATCCATCAATTAGTTCTCTAGATATAGATGTTTAAAGGTATTTCTATTTTTAGCTTTAGCGGCCCCTAAAAGGGGCCAATCAAATTAATATGAGCAAACTTGATAAAAGTCTACCCAAGAATGCTACAGACAAAGTTTGGTGATCATCCATTAATTAGTTCTGTAGAAGAAGATGTCTAAAGGTTTTTCTATTTTTAGCCCTAGTGACCCCCTAAAAGGGGCCAATCAAATTAATATGAGCAAATTTGATAAAGGACTACCCAAGAATGCTTCAGACAAAGTTTGGTGATCATCCATCAATTAGTTCTGTAGTAGAAGATGTTTAAAGGTTTTTCTATTTTTAGCTCTAGAGACCCCTAAAAGGGGCCAATTGAAATGACATGAGCAAATTGTGTGACTGTCACAAGGATGCTACAGACCAAATTTGAAGTAAATCTGCCCAGCGGTTTCAAAGAAGAAGACTATTGTTGATGCATGACGACGGACTACGGACGCCGGAGTATCCCCCTTTTATACTAATAGCTCACCCTGAGCCTTCGGGTCTGGTGAGCTTAAAAAAGACACAAGTAGAGAACTGGGATTTGAACTCCGGACCTCTCGCTTCTAAAGCGAGCGTGTAAACCCCTCGACCACGGGGAGTTATAAGATAACAGCTTGAAGAATACCATATTATTCTTAATTAGAGTTTGTAACCCTTCACGGTAAACCTGTTGCTTAACACTGAAGTTAATAATCATGGAGCTGAATATAAGCAAGAATAACACAATATTAGAAATCTTCGACCAATGGGGAACTATTTTTTCGTTACGAAAATTAATCCGCCTGTCATTTGACAATCTTTCAATTAACAGCATCAGGGTCTGAAATTTCGCTACCATTATTTGTTTGGTCTGACAACCCAAACAAATAAAAACTCTTTTCTGATCAAGTGAGCTTATTCAGAGGCAGAATGATGTCATGCAACTCATCTATTAAGACAGCAGAATCCCATCATTTTTAACTGCCCATTACATTTTACCAATGTGCCCACATTTTCCCATATCTGTGGGAACACTAAGATAACTGATCTGATATGCAAGGAGCCAAGGATACATAATTAAGACTGCGTTTGTCATTACTTTTATGACGACAGTCAATTCGTACACCCATGTGTTTTTGATACCTCTTTCAAAAACAGTTTTGGATATGTATCCTACCAAATTGTGTTACAACTTTAGCTCACCTTCTGCGCAGAAATGTCCTAACCAACATATACCAGTTACAGACTGTAGCCCCTCAGTTTCGCAATAATACCCTGCCGTACACGGGTCACATGCAGCCGAGCCACTTTGTGCTACAAATGTTCCCACTGAGCATTTTGCAAGTACTCCTGAAAAATATGGTAATTTATTATATACTTAGAAATGAAATATTGAAAAATATTGATGAAATAAAATGCGTATTTTCATTTACCGTATTTTCACTGTAAAAATTTATTTTTCACTGTAGTGAAACATATTTTCCGTATTTTCACTGGTGTCTTGCCAGACTACTTTCTTTTAAATTCTGCCAGTGCACAAAATTTAAGGGAAAGTCTGTCAAATTTTAATGTCAAAAAAGAGGAAAATGTATATAATAAACAGAAAATTCAAGCTTTTTCTATAAATACATGATTTATTTTCATCTTGTGGCATGCAAATTACCATATTTCACTCCTGGCTACCGCCACTCGTGAAATATTTAATTTCATACCACTCGATGAAAATAAATAATGTATTTATAGACAAAACTTGAATATCCTCTATATGTATCTTGGATGGTATCTGTTATATGTTGCCGTTCAGATCAAATATCCATCCTGAACTGCAAACATATGTCAGATATTTTTTCTTGTATATTCTACCATATTCCATCATAATTAAAACTCTTTACCTTAATAAAACAATTTTCTATGGAAATTTACGGTACGTCATTACATCCGTAACTATTTTCTTACAACGGCGTATGAAATTACAATTTCATTCATGACGGTGAAATTATGTTGTTCTACGTATGCCATGCTTTAGCATGCAATTCATCTGACATCCCCTATGCAAGATGAAATTTCAGGTTTTATGGGTAAAATTAATGTAAAAGCAAGTCTGATACGGAAGAATAAAATATTTGGTTTAAAGGTAAATGTTTCAGGCATTAATTATACTATGCAAAGTTTCTGCTAAATAGTAACAAGAGCTGCGCTAGGCGGAGCATTATATGCCCGAAAGTGTTTTGTTTTTTAGTAGGGATGAAGCTTTTGTAAGACATTGGAATTAAATAAAGTATTTTATTATATACTTATAAATAAAATATTGAGAAATATTAATTACATAAAATGCGTATTTTCATTTTCCGTATTTTTACTGTAAAAATTTATTTTTCACTGCAGTGAAACATATTTTCCGTATTTTCACTGGTGTCTTGCCGGACTACTTTCTATTAAATTCTGCTAATACGCAAAATTTAAGGAAAATTCTTTCAAATTTTAACGTCAAAAAAGAGCAATGTATATAATAAACAGAAAATTCAATTTTTTTCTATAAATACATGATTTATTTTCATCTTGTGGCATAAAAATTATCATATTTCACTCGTGGCTACCGCCACTCATGAAATATTTATTTTCATACCACTCGATGAAAATAAATCATGTATTTATAGAAAAAACTTGAATATCCTCTATACCTCCTTCAAATAGCGATCCTCCTATGAAGTTTGAATATTGTGGGCCAAATGGAACCTAAGTTATGCTCCGGAAGCTATATTGCTGTAAGATACAGGCACTATAACTGCTATAGTGCTGTTAGATACTGGCTGTTGTACTGCTTTATTGCTGCTAGACACTTGCTGTAATTATGATTTACTTCTGATGAAAACCAGCAAAATAACTTCCCACAGAACCCTTTAAAATATTGACTATTTGAACACTACTGCTATTTTCCTTCCCAGGGTTTTATCAGTTTTTGATATATATATGAGCCGTGTCACGCCAAAACCAACATAGTGCATTTGCGACCAGCCTGAATCCAGACCAGCCATGCTCATCTGCGCAGTCTGATCTTGATCCATGCTGGTCGCAAACCCATTATGTTGGTTTTGTCATGACACAGCTCATATATATATATATAATGGATCTAGTAACCATTAATATTTACCATTGATACAAAAATGTCCGGCTGGACATATTGTTTGTTGTCCGTTATTTGTATAATAACCATCCAGAGATGATGAACATGCTTCTTGCCCTGTGTCTGCGAAGGTGTCCTGCGAACATGGCACAGGATAAGCATTTCCTTCAAATGTAAGATATACTCTATATACATGTATTGTGATAAATGAACAGACAAATAACAAAAGCATTTATGACAATGTATAATATGCCATAGTTTGAATTTGCAATATGCAAATATTAAACTCAATTACGCAAATATTAAACTCAATTACACACAAAACACATTTACAATGAACGAGATTACTGGCAATGGCATATATCACTTACACTATTGCACATGATTACTTGTATACCACTGACATTACTGCACATGATTTCTTATATATCACTTATACTTTAGCACATGATTACTTGCATACCACTGACACTATTGCACATGATTACTTGCATACCACTGACACTAGTGCATATAATTACTTTCATATCACTGACACTTACGCACATAACTATATGCATACCACTGAACCTACTGAACATGATTACTTGCATACCACGCATACCATTTAAATTATTGCCCATTATTTCCTGCATACCACTGACACTAGTACACACGATCACTTGCATACCACTGAAACATCTGCACATGATTACTTGCACACTACTGACACGATTGCACATGATTACTTGCACACTACTGACACAATTGCACATGATTACATGCATACCACTGACATTACTGCACATGATTTCTTACATATCACTTACACTATAGCACATGATTACTTGCATACCACTGACACGATTGCACATGATTACTTGCATACTACTGACATTACTGCACATGATTTCTTATATATCACTTAAACTATAGCACATGATTACTTGCATACCACTGACACAACTGCACATGATTACTTGCATACCACTGACATTACTGCACATGATTACCTGCATACCACCAGCACTACTGAATATGATTATTTGCATACCAAGGACACTACTGCCATGATTACTTGCATACCAGGGAAACGGTTACACTTGATACTTGCATACCAATGATACTCAAGCACATGATTACTTGCATACCACTGACACAACTGCACATGATTACCTTCATACCACTGACATTACTGCACATGATTACCTACATACCATTGACATTACTTCACATGATTACCTACATACCACTATTGCACAAGATAACTTGCATATCACTGGCACTTCTGCACATTACTTGTGCACCACTGACACTATTAAATATGTTTACACACCACAGACACCATGGCACTTACTTTCTGCTCACAATTACATATTACTACACACCCTAATACTTGCATAACACTGCACACAATCACTTGCATACTGCTGACATCAAAATAAATTACACATTATTATACATTCTGAAAACCAATACTAACTCATAACAGCTGCTATGCAATTCAGCGTGACAAAGAATTACAACAGCAATAACTAAGATAAGTTTGAAAGGCAATTTCAATTATGTAAAACCTTCTAAACAAAATATTAATCATTTCTAATATGTGAAAAGACTTTGACCTAATCAGGTTATTTTTCCTGCTAGTAATTAGTTCTTATGCTATTTTTTAATTTCATTCAATAACATTTATATTGAAATAAAAAAATCTCTTATATATACCTGCGCCCCAACATTTATGATTAACGTCCTCCAGATAAACTAACATTCATATTGAAACAAGAATTTGTAACAGAGTTACCAACGTCCCCCGCCTCGGGGAAGTTTTATATGAAGCATAAAATTGTGCTATTTTAAAAGATTGAGGTATGGATCAAAGGACTTTCAGTCCAAAATTATGATCAATGCTAGATCTGCAAATGCAACAATAAATTTATTAAAGAAATAAAATGAATGTTAAGCTTTGACCTCTTAGTGTGACCTTGACCTTGGAGGTAGGGGTCCAGGTGTTGTGCATGACATATCGTCTTATTATTGTAACTATTTGTACCAAGTATTTTCAAAATCCCTTGAACTATGAAAAAGTTAAAGATGGGACACAAAATATACCCACTAAGAGACTGTTAATCTTTGACCTCTACATGTGACCTTGTCCTTGGAGGTAGGGGTCCAGGTGTTGTGCATGACATATCATCTTATCATAGTGTGACTATTTGTGCCAAATATTTTCAATAGGGCTGCAACGATACACAAAATGTTCGATTCGATTCGATTTCGATTTTAGACACTTCGATTCGATTTTTTTCGATTCAATACATTTCTGATTACTAATTTATCTTTGGTATATAATTCTGCTTGTCTGTTCCAAAAGTGAGTGGCCTTCAACCTATTGCTTTGCTTTTTTGTTGTAATATAACTATTATATAAACTTATTTGACATAATAATTGTGTTTATGAGAATAAAAAGCTCTTATCTATTTGGAAAATAATTTTAATCAGGCAAATAATCATTAATCTCAGTAACATGACTATCACAGATACCTTCTGCTGACTACTGACTAGAAATTTAACAAAGTATGTAAATTGTTAAGTAAATAATAATAAACAAAGTTTCACAAGGTTGTCAGAACTGATATTCAGATATTCTGATTATAATTCCCATAATACGTAAAATGAATATTCAGATATTCTGTTTATAATTCCCATAATATGTAAAATGAATAATCAATCCTAATGTCATTGTTGTCACACAATACTTCTTAGTCTAGTAAACAATACAGAAAAAATGAAATTCATGAAATTATCACTTTTTTTCACACTTGACTAAAGAAATAATCATCAATCCCAATGTCAAATATGCCTACTTACTGTAGTACTAATCAAACTTATTTCGGGAAGGCCAGGACACGGATAAAGCTTACAAAACAAGTCCACATCCATGACATCGTGTTTTCGTTTCATATGTTGCATTAAATCAGACGTACTGCCCGACTTTGGATATGACAAGTCCGTTAAGCATATTTTGCAAGTAGCTTTATCCGTGTCCTGGCCTTTCCGAAACCCAAAGTGTTCCCAAACCTTTGATTTTAATTTTTTAGGAGGATTTTTTAATTTTATTTTATCAACATTGATGTTGGTAGCCATTTTGACTTGTTTGCCGAAAATAAAACATTACACGCCCACTGATTAGATGACCGAGTTTTCACTGGCCAATCGTATGTAACGTGATGAAGCCCGAAGGGAAAGATTAAAACTCTCACTTTTTTCCATGTTTATTTGTGGGTGGGGAATCGAATCGAAAATGTTACAGTTGGTATCGGGAATCGAATCGGCGCTCATAAAACCGGTTTTCGATGCGTCGAAAGGTATCGTTGCACCTCTAATTTTCAAAATCCCTTGTTCTATGACGAAGTTATGGACAGGACACAAAATATACCATATAACAGACTCTGTTAACTTTTGACCTCAAAGTTTGACCTTGACCTTGGAGGTAGTGGTGCAGGTGTTGTACTTGACATATCGTCTTATTATTATGACTATTTGTGCCAAGTTATTTCAAAATCACTTGAATTATAAAGAAGTTCTAGATCAGACACAATATATACCCTTTAACAGACTATGTTAATTTTTTACCTGGAAATGTGACCTTGACCTTGGAGATAGGGATGCAGGTGTTGCGCATGACACATCGTCTTAGTATAGTGACTATTTGTGCCAAGTATTTTCAAAATCCTTTGATATATGAAAAAGTTATGGATCAGACACAAAATATACCCTATAACAGACTATGTTAATCTTTGACCTCCAAGTGTGACCTTGACCTTGAAGGTAGGTGACCAATTGTTGCGCATGACACATTATCTCATTATTGTTAACAATTGTGGCAAGTATTTACAAAATCCCTTCAAAGATAAGAAAGTTATAGACTGGACACGACATATACCCTCAAATAGACAATGTTAACCTTGAATGAGCAAGTGCGACCTTGACCCTGGAGGTAGGGGTCTGGTTTTGCTTATGTAACAGCATCTTATTATAACAAACATTTGTGCCAAGTTATTTCAAATTCCTTTGATAAATGACAAAGTTATGGACCGGACACGAAAGTGTGACGGACAGACAGAGGGACGGACGGACGGAAAGACGGACGTTCTAACAGGTGAGTAATTATGTAGCTACTCTATTGTTCTTTTTAGCCACACAAAAGAAAATAGCCACATAAAAGCATTACGGAATGAATGACATCAAAGAGAAAGAACAGTTACCTATTGTCCATCTAGCCACATAATTACTCTCCTGTGAGTGCGGACAGATGGACGGAGCCTTTTTCTATATCCCCCTTTTTTCTTTGAAAAGGCGGGGGACAATAAAAAAAATCTCTGCTAGATACCTGTGCCTGGACATTTATGATTAATGCCCGACAGATAAACTTACATTCATATTGAAATAATAAAATCTCTGATATATACCTGTGCCTGAACATTTATGATTAACGCCCTGCACATAAACTAACATTCATATTGAAATACATATACTTGCATCTGGACATTTATGATGAACACCCTGCAGATAAACTAACATTCATATTGAAATAATAAAATCTCTTACAGGCTTCGCGAAAGTTGCCGGACCGTCGGACATGTCCGGCAAAAATCAGGCCGGTCCGATATTTTTTTTCGGAGTTCCGAACCTTATGTCCGGTACGAATACCGGGATATATCCAAGACCGATCAAGACCAAGTTTTCTCCCTTGAATAAAAAAATGTAAAACGAGTTTTGATTCGCCGATTCATTATAAGTGTCCAATCAAATTCTAGATACATACGACTGTCAATAACCAAAATGTCGGTGTTACTACATTATTACGCTGGCGCTACGCCCGGCAAAAATCGTAAACTATCCAATGAAGAAAAAAAAAGCGAAACAAAAGGAATACGAGTCCAGGCGCCCGCCGAGAAAATTTGTGGGTAAATGGAAAAATGGCCGCTTTGATCATAAATGTTTTGATTTCCAGACAGAGTCCATCAATCTGGATAAACTAATGTTTTATTTAAGGGAATAAAATTGTGTTGCAAATCTTTAAAAGTTGTTATGTCTTTAAAAAAACACAAAGGTATTATACTCAACATCACTAATTCCGCGTCATCACTTATCTCACGGTAATGGCATATTTTCATGTGACCAGTGTTAAAATTGGTCAGAATTGACATATTTTATTCAAACACCTTAACAACAAAGTTTTTGTGCAAAATAATTTAAATCTATAGATTTTTACGTAAAACTGAACAACATTTTACAAACTTCTGCAAAAAACAACAATAGTCCATTAAATTTGTGCATACGTCTGAAACAATCATCATTTTCTAAATGTTCTTGTTTGTTGAAAGAAAAATTTTGAGTTACAATGTAAAGATGTAATGTAAATATTTAAAATTATGCAAAATAACATAAAGAAATTTTAACTGAAACATGAAAAAACTGAAATAAAACACCATTACTGCGAGTTAAATGATGACATACTGTTTTCAAAATGGCCGACACACGGTCTACATCTGACAAATTAAAACTAAATTAAATTTTTTGATCGAATATATTGTTGTTACCTTGTGTCATACAGCAGAAAAATGACTAAATGATACAGTTAATGAAAGTTTTTGTAGTGTAAGTTTATTGTTGGTCTTCTTTACTGTTTTAAAGAGCTAAGAGGAGCACAGTATACCATATACATATATTTGGAAAAAAAATTCGGTCAGACAAAAGTTCTTTCGGTCAGACAAGAATTGAAAGTTTGTCTGACCCAATGTCAGGCAAATTTTTCAGCAGTTTCGTGAAGCCTGCTCTTACATGCATCTGGACATTTATGATGAACACCCTGCAGATAAACTAACATTCATATTGAAATAATAAAATCTGATAAATACCTGCACCTGGACAATAATGATTAACAGGGCAGATAACCGGCATAATCGCACCACTCTCACAATAATAACCTGCCATGCAACTCAAACACTCCACCTGTCCAGTCTCTGACTGATAGGTACCACCTGGGCATGCTGTCGGACTTTCGGCTGAAAATAAAATTGCATTTTTTGACAATGCGAATAAAAACAAATGAAAAGAAGAAAATTGTGAGTGGGAAATTATAAAACAGAGTAGTTATAGCAGGTCCGTATTCTTCAATGCAGAAATAAGCCATCGTTCACAATGGACCAGATTTGATTTTGACTCCAAAAGACCTTATTCAATTGTAAGATTTATAAAAATCTATCTTGTAAATGTAATGCTGAATTAAAACACCTAAACTCTAGAAATAAATCTTTATATGAAAATTGTAAAAAGTCTTTTATCGTTTTATCTATGCAAGTCAATGCCAAAACTAGAAAAGAAAAATTGGACTCCAGCAAGTCCATTTAAACATAAGATAATGCTACATACTAAATATTTAAGCTGTTTAAATTTATCTATACATGTCTACGCTATGTAACTCAATTTTGACCCTTGTGACATAATTTACAAATGCTTGTAGTGGAGAAATACATGCCAAATGTGATATGGACATTGTAGTTCTTGCAAAGCATGCAAAGAAAAAAATTTTAAAGTCAATTTCTAAAAAGTAATCATGATAAGTTTTTGATTACCAATGTGAAAAAAATGTTATTCAAATAATTACTGGGGGAAACATTCAGAGTAATCAAATGTAAATGTAATGAAAATTTTAAGAAGTAATTGTAATTAAATCAACATAGACTTAAGTAATTTAAGTAATTTGCCCAAAGTTTGGCTGCAGTTTGTTTCAGTTTTTTTTTTTTTAAAAAATCATGCTTAAGTGTCAACAGACTGATTTTAAATGTTTTACCAGAGTTAGGGCACATTGAGCCTGCTGGGCAAATCTCTTGGGCCTCAAGACCCGTTTGGTTACAATAGTAGCCAGAGTCACATCTCAGACAGCTGCTTTGTCCTACATTTGGCTGATATTCTCCTTTCGCACATGGATAAGGGTTAGTACCTCCTGAAACTAAAGAATATTACTATTTATAGCTTAAAAATAAAACTATTATCTTTGCATTGAAAATAAAACAATGTCTTCAAACCAACAATCTTTTGGAACAAGTTTTGCCCAAAGATAAATAATGGGGTGTTTGCAGCAAAATGGTTTAAATTGTTGGCTCTATTCAGCTATGGGTTCCTATCCCATCAGGGACTTTGGATTCTTCATTTTAGGAAAGTATCCTGTTAGCTCGGGTAATGTTAGTGGTTCTACGCAATTGCTCAAAATTGCCATATGACCTAAAAAGTGATGTTGTTACTTAAAAATCCCACAAACTAAGTGAACATACATGTATATGCTGTTTTCTCTGCTTGGGTTTTTTTATATGTTTGTTTATAATACATTACTTACCACCTATCATTTCAACTTTACACAGGACAAGTTGTGTTGTTGTTGTAGAATGCCATATCACAAATCGATTTCCTACAAGTGGTGGATCACAGGTGATTGACTTTGATATGCTTTCAGGTGGCGAATTTTCATGCTCATAACACACAGTTGAGCTGGCTCCAGGTTTGCTCAGGTCAGTTTCATATAAACTAAAGTTGGGATCTACCTCTACAAGGATTTTAAATCCGCTGAAGTGATCTGTTTTATGAACAAAATACAAAAATCTTGTAGCAAAGAAATAACGTACAAGTCTTATACAGTCCAACCCCGTTTATTCGAAGTGCCTGGGACTGAATATTTACTTCGAATAATCGATGGGTTCGAATAATCGAAATCCGAATATTGTGATAGACGAAAACTACTCCACTTTGACCAATCGTAGCAAAACAACCGTTTACAACACACTTACTTCCTGTAATCAATTGAGAAATATAAATATTAAACAAAAGATGCATAAAAATTCTTGTATTGTCATTGAAGACATAAATATTTGCATTTTATTCTACATTATGTATCGTTTCGTTTCGCGCAAAGCCTTGATAATGGCCGTGTTGTCACTACGGTATTTACAGCTAAACTCTGGTATTTTCGATTAGGAAAAAGGCTCTCATGTAGCGTTACAATTAATATAAAAATGTTTTGGATGTTTTGACAAATTTACATAAACGTTATGTATGAAAATTATTGCTGTCATCTTCAAGCAATAACAGTAACAAAATCGGACACGGTGCATTACTTTTCATTTTCGGTAATTAAAGTTGATTCAAGAACACACAAAGAGTTATTATCATGATTGTCTAAATACACTCATGACTGTTGATGTTTTTCACAAGACGACCGGTCAACGAGTGGATCTGCGCCAATTAGTCTGGCTTCGAATAATAATTAAGCTGGCTTGGAATAATAGGTGTGAAATACTTTCATAATTGTATAATTGGGAACGAAATTTTACTTCGAAAAATAGGAGGTATTCAGATAATGCATTTCGAATAGTACACTCGTATTTATATTGATTTATATAGAGATTAAAACGGGACAGCCGATCTACTTCAGATAATGCCGGGTATTCGAATAAAAGGTTGTCGAATAACCGGGGTCGGACTGTACTATAATACAAAATGTTGTTATGTACTTATTCATAGATACACAAACATTTCATGCATCATTGGTTTTACATATGAATATTTCTGTACATGTATATTTTGATTTATTAATCATTCAATTAATAAGCTTTCAGCTTTCTCAATCCAATACTGTCTATGTTTTTACATTGTATATTATCAGGGTCTTTCGAATAGAATAGTCTGGAGACGGACCAATTTTACGAAAAAAGCTGTTTCGGTTGAGTCATGTGATTGGGTTATCTACCGACCGTGATCTGGCATAGCACATCACCATTATAAGGTAATGTTTTGTTAAAACAATCAAAAATTACTAAAAACTAACTCTGACTATGTTATATTATCAGTTTTTCTTTAAAAGTTACAATTTTATAGATTTGCAATGAAATGAAGAATTTTTCGTTCCCGGTGTCAAGGTTAATATCTACTTCTCATATTTGAAAATAGGTCAAAGTTTCATGAACTTTTTTCAATTTATGCATTGTTCAATGACAAAATAAAAATTGATTTTACAGAGAAAAGATGTTATTAAATTCTATCATGTATAAATATTAAATTATTTCACGATGTTATTTGCAAATATTTTATGTTTAATTTATTGCATTTTCAAAATGGCGCCATTTATCGGCAAATATTCTTAACAAGCAATCTATGTTTTCCTACAAAATTTGGCTTTAAAAAACATTATTTTCTGAAATATTTATCCTTTTTTCACAAGTTTAAAGATTTTTAAACAACATCTTGTCGTTAAAATTTTCATTTTTGCTCTTGTAATTAATATTCGCCCTTTTCTTGAACACTTACATAATTTGCGTAAAGCAAACTATATAAAGTTATACTGAGACAGTTTTAATTGTAGCGAGAAGGGTTTACAGAGCGTGTTTCCAGACCATTCTATTTGAAAGAATCTGATATTATATATGACTGAAAAAAAAACAAAAAACAAAAACTTTTTAAACTATATCAATTACAGGATGACTGATTACACAATTGTACAATGAAAAAAAAAAAAGAAACAGAAAATTACTAACGCAAAGATTCAGTTTCTGTTTCAAAAAAAACAGACTGAAGCCATGTTTGGTCTTCATTTTTTTCAATCCTCCAATATGCTGGAACGTCTAGTTTATCAGGATTTCTCACGGTGTTTGTTCGACTACATTCTGGTTGATCATCTACCGCGAATTGAGAAAATTGATTGCTTGGCAAGTTGTCAGAATGTCTTGTTGTTGCTGATGGTGAGTGCAACATATTAACTAAAATATAACAAGAGGGCCATGATGGCCCTGAGGTCGCTCACCTGTTTATAGGCCCTGGAGCGGGGCCAGTTTAAACCCCAGGGCTTTTATTTGCCCTCCCCCCCCCCCCCCGGGCCCATTTTAACCCAAGGGCTTTTATTTGAACAAACTTGGTAGACACCCATAAGAAGATGTTTCATGCTAAACATCTAAGCAGGGCCAATTTTGACCCCAGGGCTTTTATTTTAACAAACTTTATAGACACTCACTAGAAGATGTTTCATGCTTAATATCTAAACTTTAGCTATTTGGGTTTTTTCAAAGAAGATTTTTTAAGTTTTTACTATACACATATAAGGAAATTCAATGACCCCCCAGAGCGGGTCCAATTTTGACCCCAGGGCTTTTATTTGAATAAACTTGGTAGACACCCATTAGAACATATTTCTTGCTAAATATCTTAACTCTAGCTCTTTGAGTTCTTTTAAAGAAGATTTTTTAAGTTTTTACTATATGCATATAGGGAAAATCAATGACCCCCTGGGGCGTGACCAATTTTAACCCAAGGGCTTTTATTTGAACAAACTTGGTAGACACCGATAAGGAGATGTTTCATGCTAAACATCTAAACATCTTAGCTCTAGCACATTGGGTTTTATAAAAGAAGATTTTTTAAGTTTTTACTATACACATATAGTTAAAAACAATGACCCCCGGGGCGGGGCCAATTTTGACCCCAGGGCTTTTATTTTAACAAACTTGGTAGACACTCATTAGAAGATATTTCATGCTAAATATCTTAGCTCTAGCTCTTTTGGTTCTTTAAAAAAAGATTTTTTAAGTTTTTACTATATGCATATATGGAAAATCAATGACCCTGTGGGGCGGGGCCAATTTTGACCCCAGGGATTTTATTTGAACAAACTTGGTAGACACTCATTAGAAGATGTTTCATGCCAAATATCTAAGCTCTAGCTCTTTGGGTTTTTTAAAAGAAGATATTTAAAGTTTTTTCTTTCGGTTGCCATGGCAACCATAGTTCTGCATGGAATTAAATCCTTTGAACAATTTTAAAAGGTGACCACCAAAGGAACATTCCTGTGAAGTTTGGATTGGCTTACTGGTTTATGAGGAGATGTCAATTAAAATGAAAGTTTACGGCCGGACGCCGGACGGACGAAAAGCGATCACAAAAGCTCACCCTGTCACTTTGTGACAGGTGAGCTAAAAATATGAGCGGCGTCACGACAAAACAAACATAATGGGTTTGCGACCAGCATGGATCAAGACCAGCCTGCCCATCCGCGCAGTCTGATCAGGATCCATGCTGTTCGCTTACAAACCCTACAGCAAGTAGAGAAACTGATAGCGAACAGCATGGATCCTGATCAGACAGTGCGGATGTGCAGGCTGGTCTGGATCCATACTGGTCGCAAATGCATTATGTTGGTTTTGTCATGACATGGCTCTTTTGATATCAACATTTAAATGTTTATATAAAGCTTTTATTTAAACCATTTGTCAATTTCAGGTTGATGCCGCAATAAGAAATCCCTCTGCCATCAGACTGATCAAACCAGCTTACGTATCACAGTCTAAACAGACTCTTGCTACTGAAATTAATTTAGAAACCATTTACAGCTCAAGGTCATACATACTTAAATTATTCAACATGTTGGTGTTGTCTTGTCCTGTCCCAGTATGAATCAATTCTCTCCATTATAATTTATTATAATTATAGTTTAAGCTAAATTTTATTCACGACCTTGACTGTCAAGGTCATTTAAAATCAAGCTCACATTTAAATCAATCATTATATCAGTTTTGTCATAACTGTTCTTTTGTCCAAGAATGAATCAAATCCATAAATGAACAATTTAAACAAATTTTTACAATTGACATTGACAGTCAAGGTCAATTAAAGGTCAAGGTCATATTAGAATAAGTGGCTATAACTTTAGAAGTAATTGATGGATTGTCTTCATACTGGAGCACAATCCTTGGGATAAAACATACCCCCTTAATCTCTAAAATGTGTATATTACTAGTACACTTGGAATTAAAACATTGCTATTAATAAGGCCTGTGTATTGTCAGCCAGGTGGTGATCAAATCCTTACTTGATGATTCACAGATTATACCACAAATAATCTAATTGTTCTAATCTAATTGATAGAACTATCACTAAATGTGATTAATACCCCTGCAAGACTGCTTCGGAAATGAGGATGTTACTAGTAACAGAATACCTTGTAAAACAATTGAAATACAGTTATGGTTGTGGGCAATTAAAGATAGTTGTGGTTCTTGTATGTTGCATTTCCTTTCAATGTGGTTGGCCATTGATGAAGTTTTATTGAATTACTCTGCAATAAGTCCAGAAAAACAAGGAAAAGGAAGAAAGGGCAATAACTCTATAAATACTGAAGATGGAGTTATGGTTATTGTACACTGCACTTCCTCTCATTGCACTTGACCATTGTATGAAGTTGTATTGAATTCCAACTACAAGTTTTCAAGTTATGCATTGTACAAAAAAGTAACAAAGGGCAGTAACTGTAATTAGTCCAAATAGAGTTATGGTTCTTGTGCACTGCGCTTCATCTTACTGCCTTTGACCATTGTATAAAGTTTCATTGAATTCCAACCATTAATTTTCAAGTTATGCACTGGACAATAAAAAGTAACAAAGTGCAAAAACTTTTAAATGAGTCCAGAAAGAGTTATGATTTCTGTACACTGTGCTTCCTCTCAATATACTTGACTATTGTATGGAATAGTATTAAATTCCAACTAGTAGTTTTCAAGTTATGCTCTGGACAAGAAAAAAGCAATGGAAAAGTAACAAAGAACAATAACTCTATAATTACTCTGGACAGAGTTATATTTATTGTGCACTGCACTTCCTCTTATTGTCCTTGATCATTGTATGAAGTTTTTTTGAATTCCAACCAGTACGTTTTAAGTTATGCTCTGGACAAGAAAAAGTACCAAAGGGCAATTACTCTGTAATTAGTCAAAATGGTGTTATGATTCTTGTGCACTGCACTTCCTTTTAATGTCCTTGACAACTGTATTAAGTTGTATTGAATTCCAAACAGTAGTTTTCAAGATATACTCTGGACAAGGAAAAGTAACAGAGTGCAATAACTCTGTAATTAGTCAAGATGGAGTTATGGTTCTTGTGCACTGCACTTCCTCTCAATGTGCTTGACCATTGTAAGAAGTTATAGAATTCCAATCATTCGTCTTCAAGTTATGCTCCGGACAAGGAAAATGCAACGGACGTCTGGACCGACCGACTGACCGACCAACCACCGGGGGTGACTCCTACAAAAATCATATTAAGAATGATTATGCTCCGGACAAAAAAAGCAATGGAAAAGTAACAAAGGGCAATAACTCTGTAATTAGCCAAGATGGAGTTATGGTTCTTGTGCACTGCACTTCCCCTTATTGTGCTTGACCATTGTATGAAGTTGTTTTGAATTCCAACCAGTAGTTTTCAAGTCATGCTCTGGACAAGGAAAAGTAACAAAGTGCAATAACTCTGTAATTAGTCAAGATGGAGTTATGGTTCTTGTGCACTGCACTTCCTCTCAATGTGCTTGACCATTGTATGAAGTTATAATGAATCCCAACCATTAGTCTTCAAGTTATGCTCCGGACAAGGAAAATGCAACGGACGTCTGGACCGACCGACTGACCGACCAACCAACCGACCGACCACCGGGTGACTCCTACAAAAATCATATTAAGAATGAGTTCTATTCTACTAAACTTCCTATAACAACAGTTTTCAACTGAAGTTTTGTGGTGGCTGATTTCTGCCAATTCCTATCTTTGCCCCTAAAATCCAAGGCGATGACATGAATATATGCTCACTTATCGTTTTCAGGCGAAGACACAACAGATTTAGGGCGCCAATACGAAGAATTCTACCCACCGACACAATAATTTTACAGAAAAAGATCAAATGTCCTTAAGCAAAAGCAGGTTTAAAAAATAAACTAATATCATAAAGTTCATATTTGTATCTGAAAAGTTGCTTGTGTAAGAATTAGAAATTGTTGCTTTTGCTGAGGGAAAAAAGTTACTAAAGAATTCACTGGTTGCTATCCAAAATCAGTGGTTTCCTTGGAAGTCGCTGAATGTTATGGTCAGGGTATCGCATTGTAACATGGCCAGCGATTGGCTGAAAAAAAGTGTAGGGAAAACTGTATGATTCAATTTATACATGAGGTGATTGGATGAAAGTGGGGTATTTTTAAGTATAGAAGCTAATTTAAACAAGGGTGCCATAGTCACAAAATACGCCCGTTTACGAAAGCTTTAGATGGAGATGGGGGCATTATGGATAAGTGTTATCTAGCAAGCAAGTTTTTATCCTTGGCACTGTGTTGTTAAATGAACCTTAAAACAAATCAATAGGGAAGATATGCACAGGATGTGTGACCTTGACCTTGGTCGCAGGGACCTGAATTTTATGCACGGCACTCAGCCTCACAATGATGAACATTTGTGCCAAATTATATTGAAATCCCTCTATGCATGTAGAAGTTTTGCTCCAGACAAGTGTTTTTCTATGAGCTCTAATTGTGACCTTCACCTTTGACCTAGAGACTTGGTTTATGTGCAGGGCACTACGTCTCATGGTGGTGAACAATTCTATAAAAGTAACATTAAAATTCCTCCATGCATGTAGAAAATATGCTCCGGACAACATCTTGATATTTAATCATCTCCAGTGATCTTGACCTTGCAAATATTAACCTAAATTAAATGTGTCACACCTGCAGTCATGATAGTTACCATTTGTGCTACAATCCATCAATAAATGATGACTAAATGGTCCCTATAACCATCTTCAAATTTTTATCTGAACTTTGACCTCTATGTGTAACCTTGACTTTGGTCGCAGGGATCTGAATTTTGCATGCGACACTCAGCCTCACAATGGTGAACATTTGTACCAAGTTATATTGAAAACCCCCTATGAATGTAGAAGTTTTGCTCCG